AAATTATATAATTAAATATCTCATCAAAACTTTTAATTTTTTTTTATCCTTGAAATATATTTTATTGTGGATATTGATGATCTTCATACATATTAACAATTAAAAAAGGTTTCTATAAGCATTTGATGTAAAATTAAACAATTAAAAAAGATTTCTATAAACATTTTATGTAAAATATAACTATATATTTATGTATAATTATTAATAACATAAAACAAATTTATTAAATTAAAATAATTATTTGTACAAATCAAATTTATAAATTATTCCTTATCATTACTCTTTATTGTTTTAATTGTAGATAATAAATCCATTTAAAGCTAACTACGTGTGAAGTTAATGATAAGGAAACTATAAATTATATATCTCATAAACGGAAAAAAATATATGCAAGTACATATACAAACAAAGACTGAATAAAAGCAGAGCAAGTAACAACTTCGCAATATAATTCTGTGAATTTTCGCAAGAAGACAATACGTCAAAAGATATGGAAGGTCATTTTATATGGAACTTGTTTGAATTAAACTTGGTTAAATATAATATTATCGATATAAATTCCATCGGGCTATAAGACAAGGACAATGGCGCCCAGACGTAGACGACCCTTTTGATCCGACGATGTGGAAGCAGTCCACCTTCGCAGAGCGAAGCCGAGCCTCTCACCTGTCCAAAGAACTTTTCCAATATCCGCACGGTGTGTTACAAGCACCTATTTCGTAATAATCGTCAGGCAGTCAGGCGATCCGAAAATTTTCTGGATTTCTACGCGTTAGAACTATATTAATTCGACTTTCTTTCGCGATTTGCATTACTTCCTTTTTACTTGAATCGTCCCGGAACTCTCTACTCACTATTCTTTTCTTTTCTTTATAATTTGTCGGCAACACGTGCGTTTCTTTTCGAACAAATTAGTTAATTGCGCGTTATAATCATAAAAAATTTATATTTCTCATTTTTAATATTTTAATATTTAGCATGAAAATCTTACAATTCTTGGTCATCACTTCCCCTTAAAAATGTCTACATCATAAAAGCTTTTTGCAGAAAAAGAAACATATTTGAGACACTGTTCTTTTACTGTTCTTTAATCCTTTCATTCCTGAATATAAATTTTTTTCGCTAAATCGAAGATGTCTAATACACAGATCTGCTGTTTAATATCAAATTGATATTTTTTAGTGAAAAAAATAATGAAATTAGTTGGTGGGAGTGGTTTGAAGAAGGGATAGTGGAACATATGTATATGTATCATTAGGATTTTTATTTGATACCAAGGTAAGAAACGACAAGTTTTTTTTTGGTAGCTAAATGGCTTGATAATCCTCTTATCTTTCATTTACGTCCATTAGCCATTTATTTTGAAGCCATCATATCAATTTGCATACTGATTTCCGAATTGGTTCTTCAATTTTCTTTGTTTTGATTACGCGCAAATCTGATCGACTAGATTCGCGACAGTTCGTTTTTAACAGCATGCCTTGCGGAATACCGTGGCATGACGTGATACACCGACTTTTACTTTCAATATCGATAGCACGACGACTAAAAGACTTAGATAGTAATGAAACTAGAACGCATATTCACGTATCATGAATCGCACATAACGATCGCAGCTGTTGTTCTAAAGGATCATATTCTTCATTTTATATGTAGAAATATGAAATGTATTGAAATATTTCTGTCCATATGAATGATAAAAAAGAATTTTCTTAAGATTTAGGAACTATTGATTACTATTGTGAAAAATGAAGATCCGGAAATGAATATTGTTAGCAATTTTTTTGACATTAAAGAATTTAATATTTCATTTAAATCATTTAATATTTATACACAGTAAATACAAAAAATTTTATTATATTTTATAAAAATATATTGTTATTAAAGCTTCTTATGTATTGTATTATATTTGATATTTTGAATAATTAAACAATATAAGAATTAAGATTTTTAATAATTGTTTAATATGTTTATTTTAAATATCAGGTTGGGTCTCATCCTGGTAAAGTGAATTACAATTTTACATTGGCATTTAGCGAAAACACAAAAATAAGCTGCAAATCGCATAGTTTCTTTGAAAAAAATATCCATGAATGCTTCAAAAGTTTTATTTTTAATTCTCTACTATTATGATATACTTACAAATTTGGTAAATCTACAAATTTATCGTTGAACGTCTGATTTTTTATATCCAGATTAATCGATTAACTGAGAACTTGGAATATTTAAATCGTTAGAATTTTCTGAATTTGTAATTCTTTTCTACATTTTTTATTATTTATAATTAGATCTTTGAAATATATATCATCAAAAGCGATATCTCTGCACACGCTAAATTTTTATGTATATTGTTGAGCCAATATTAGTAGAGTATATTGTTGGGTTGTTAGTTAGATTTTCCATAAATCAATTACGGTTTTATCGATTCACTATGAATTAATTTGATACGAAAAATTACAATAATTGCTTCATAAAATTCGACGGATTAAACGATATTGTCATCTTATTTGCATCTTGTGCAAACGTCCAATATGGAAAACAAGTTTGTTGCAATTGCGAAGAAGAAGAAGAAAAATTTCAAATAAGGAGTGGGCACGCTAGAGCCGTTTTCCTTTAAGCATCGACAGGTCAATGTAGTCACGAGGATTTTAATGCCGCTTATTAACGCTAACGGTGAAGGTATAATCTGTGACGAATACGACCTATTTGCTGTAACAACTGGAAATGCAATTAATTGCGTTTGTCAGGCATTATTGTCAACGATAACTGATTGATTGGATCCGTCGAAACCGGTTATTATTATTTGCGTTAATCCCAATTTCAGAGGATTCTCTTAATTACATAATTGGTACTTTCTTGCAATTTCATTGGATATCTTTGCAATCGGGTTGCCGTATCTCTAACGTTTCTTTCTCTCGAAGTATACTTTTGATTAACGATACATTTCATCTTTTTCGTATTAAAGCGCAGCTATCATAATCGTCTAACTATACATACGTTAATCGAATTATTATATAGCTTTTAATTATTATATAGCTTGATCGATTATCGATCATATAAACGATATTTCTAAAATGCCTTCGGGCAGCTATTTATGTACTTTCGAAGTATTTAGCACATGCAGTAATCCGTTCTCATGAAAGTTCTTATGCCTTTTACTTCGCATTTATAATTACGCTATTACCGTCAATTATTTAACTGACATAAAAAAGCATCTTGATAATTAGAGCATCTTCAGTAATTGTATAATAATTGTACGGATTTTAATCGGGTTAATGTTTTGAAATAATCATTAAAAACGTTCTGTTCCAGAAATTAACAAAATCTCTTTTTTTTCAGGAACAAAAATTTGTAACATAAAAATAATGCAGTTAATTAATTAATAGTAATTTGACCCACTAACAAAACGATGATAAAATTACTATAAATATGTAACTGCACATTTTCAGACGGATGGACAGAAAATAACAAATCGCGGTACTGCGCGATACAACTTTAAATCAACAACGGAATCGAGTAGTCTTTCTACACCGGAAACCAGGTTGCTTCGCGATAAGAGTTCCCGTTCAGAAACAGTTGCCAACTTAGAAAAGCATGAAACGCATTTCGCGAGAGAAGGTTCGATTAGATCGCGATCAAAATTAAAGCAATCACAAGCGTCAGATGATTCCACTACTACATCACGGACAAGTTCGAGGCATTTGAATACTAGTGTCGATAATTCACGAAATCGTCAAAAATCGCACGCCACACAGATTCTTAAAGAAGAAATAACGAGAAATGACAATAAAGAGAACACGCCTGAGTCACGAACGCCGAAACGATTGACAGCTTCTCGAAGGACGTCTTCGGACGAATCCCTCATCTGGGTGGACAATGTAAAGTTGGATTCCGAAGTGTTCACCAAGTCGAATCATTTAAGATCAAGAACAGGAAGAAAGATTTCTGTGAATCACGGGAGAGAATCGAAAGGTGAAATAATCTCAACCAGAAAATTTCCGGAAAATGAAAATGTGGAGAAAGCTAAAAGTCCAAGCAAGGAATCGGAAAAGGAAGAAGTACAATTGGAACATTCAAAAATCGAGAACGTTACTCCGAAAGCGAACATATCAAAGAAAATAGATACGAAAAGTACGAACAATTCTGGCAGTCATAAAGATCAAGCAAAAGATATTCTGTTGTCGGGTTCCGAGAGTGTAAGAGTGGACGTTCCTCTGACAGATGGAAATGATGAAGACGTCAATCTTTTAACGTCCGCCACGGCTTCGTCCGTCAGTGTGTCCCCGAGACAAGCTTCAAGGTCGGACAGGGAAAAGGTAGAGAGCAACGATATTGCAAGATCAAACACAAAGAAAAGTAGACAGTCTAGTCGATCAAAATCTCGTAACAGATCCAAAACAAGGGATCCTAATCTCGAGACCGTGAATTCCGGAAATACTTCCCGCCGAGGTTCTTCCAGATCCAGCAGTACTGTAACTGAGGAGATGAATAGACGATCCTCCAATTCTAGACACAGATCTAGCTCAAAGAACGTCAATTCGAGAGGCCGTTCCACACATCAGTCGAGAGATCCGGTCACGGCGGAAGCAAGAAATAACGATAGACAGAGGAATATAGACACCGATTCTGAAACGAATACAAACAGACGAACGGATACACGACGTAACGACAGACGAACGTCCGCGGAAATCAAGGTAGACGAGCAAGATATCCGGGTGCAATCCAGAAGTCGGTCACGCGCAGCTACGAGCAACCTTGGTAATTTACAATTCAATCCTGAAACATTAATTAATATAGCATTAATAAATTAACACTCTGTCTCAAGGAAGCAATAAACCGTCTCGAGAAGACATTATCTCCATTTATATAAAGATCACTTCAATTGCTTTTGATTATATTATTAGCGATCATTTAATAATAAGAAACTCCGAAACAATATTTCAATTAATTATGTAGTTTTTCACAAAAACTTCTCTACATAATTCAAATATTGTTTTAGAGAATCCATTCTTGAATTCATAACTGATAACGAGGAACGCAATATTTCTATATTATCATAATTTAAAAAATAATCACGTTTTTTTTCAGAAGTTACTACTACTTACGTTCCGAAAGCGACAATCGCCGAAACGACTGTTTCTTCTGTGAACGCCGAGATTACGACATCCAGTTCTACAACAACGATCAGACCATCGACAACGATTCGAATGTCCACTTCGACTGAGCGAGTTTCACGCAATAGAGGAAGAGATAGAGGAGAAAGTTCTCGAGCGATTAAACCCCCGAAGGAAGATTTTTTCAATTACGGTCTAGGTTTTCGTGGTCGAAAGACCTCAACAGAGGCATCGTCCTCAATTGTAACAGAATCAAGAACCACTACGCCTAAAAGCGAAACGCAATTACGTGGTAATCCCGGATGGACTCTCAGACGTCGACCTGGTCATGTCAATCAAGATGCTCCTTCTTCAACTGCATCTTCAACTACGCCAAGTAATCGAGATCAGACCAACGAAATTGTCTTGTCCACTGATTCGCCGAAGAGCACCGAAACACTGTCAACTAATGTCGGACGAAGAGGTACCAAAAGACCAAAAGTAAAGGACGAGAGCGATATCGCATCGGGAGTTGCGGCGAAGAGCACGACAAGAGGCAGTAAAACCTTCAACAAATCCGAAAGCTTTGGTCTACCCAAGGGAACAGAACCCGAAAGCGACAATTACCCTCCCGCATTTCGAGCTAGACTATCTCAATTGGTGAGTTTGAATTTATTTATATACAAAGAATTACTTTCACTTCATTTTAACAAATTGTTTGCCTATTATGTTTATATTATTGTGATTCTTTCCAATGTTAGAAACATAAAATACAGTTTATTTTGAATCTTGATTAAAATGACAGATAATGATTAAAGTTTGCCTATTCGGAATACCTAAAAAAGTGCATAATATAAAAATAGGTAGATATATTTTTTACATATTTATTTATTTGTTAAATTATCTCATCAGTTTGATTTCTACTTATAATTGTTAAAATTATTATACTTTGTAAAGTTACAGTGTTTATATTTAATATATATGTACCTGTTTATTTAAAATTATTCTAATACGAGATAAATGTATTAAACGCATTTCAAAACCTTTTTTTCAAATATTTCACAATTCTATTTCGCAATGTTTTGAATTTTTATTGTAAATATTTATAATCTTTATTGTTAATAACATTGCTGAAGAAATTAACAATAAAACAAGCACACTCAGTCAAAGAATACTTTCAGAAAAATTCTAATTCGAAATCTACTGAAGGAAAAAGTACAACTAGGACCAATTTGCAGGTAAGAGGCATGCAGATCTCTCGACATATTTGCTAAATTAACTATTAATTTACTTTAACTCTTAACATATTAACAATTTATAACATATTCTATTAATGTGCATCTTATTTCTCTCAATTTAAGCCATTTGTAGGCAGTTAAATCTATGGACGTTAAAAATGTTGCATCTTTAGCATGAAATAGCTAATCTTTTGAATCTTTATCAAATAATTAGCATGTACACCTATATCAATACACGCGTAAAGGGAGAGTAATACGGTAGAAGTAAAATTAATTAATATGGTGGTGACTTTCCTCGTCGACGTGTATAATTCTTATACATTTATAATTGTATAAAGCTATAAAAATGCCCCACGTAGGAACATTCAAAGGAACACACATTACGACGGCATATACGATCCAGCACGAAAACGATGCATGTATCAGAAAAAAACGAAACTGTGGAAAATGTGCTTGCGACAGACGTAGTCTTGCACGTCTCTTCTCCCACGAACCCCTTAACTTCGATACTCGACCCAGATACGCGACAAGTAAGAACATAGCGGTAGTTTGATCAGAACTTTAATGGCAATTTGGGATTGCGCACTAATCCGGCTGAGAAATCGCTTTATCATTCCCATCCACGCTCCGGAGATTTTCGCTCCCTTCAATTTTTTAAACACCACTCGACATCAACTAAAAATAATATCAACGTTGTAATTTTGTATTCAACAATATAAATGTAATACATGATGTTACATATTCTCTAGATTATTTGGAGTGAAATCTCAATCTAAAGAGTGATAATTGGGTTAGTTTTGAAAAAGAGTTCAATGGTTCGATTTTCAATCTTTATAAGAGTCAGATTTCACTCTTTAGAGTAAAATTTACACTAAAAGTTTTAAAAAGTAACAATTATAATGTTTACGAAATTATAATATCGATATTAAATTATTTTTGGTTGATATCAATTGAGCAGGTATTTATTTATAGGAAAAATATCAACTTTAGAATATATTTCCTTACCACGTGTCTATTTCCAGTTTTTGGATACAAAGATTGAAATTTTGGTCTGATTTTATTTTTTATCAAGGTGTATTGCGAAAAGAGATCCGTTTCTTACGATCGTCAATCGTTGAACGCGACTGTTTTTCGAGATCACTACAACCGGGGTATTAAATCTCAACAAAAATTATAGTTTGAAATGAGGAATGGTGTATTGGTTGCTACAAACGTAAACTTACGTTAAATGCATCATTAAGAACCAATCAGAACTGGACAATGATGCATTATTAACATTATAACTGGCGTTGCCAGTGAAGCTTACTTGGTGATCGGTGGTGGTAAAACGTGACAGAAACAGTTACGATTTTGAAGAATCTAAGATTCTGGCTTTCGCCAGAAAGCTTTTGAGATGCGTTTTGCAAAAGCTTTAAGAAGGCTTTAAACGTGGCGACAATGAACATCCAAATAAGACTGGATTTGAACGCTATCGTGACGCAAGGAGTGGCGAATCCTCGACAAGAAGTTCTCTCAAGCTACATTAATTGCAAAAAGGTCACAGAATAGCCTCAAATCTTTCATTATAATCTTTCGCTGATCTTTTCGATTGCGATCCTAGTTTTACTTTCAAGTACCTTTGATGAAACGACCGGGAATGAAAGATGAATAGATGTCTATTATTGACGAGTAATGAATGAATTGGTTTCGAGATTTTGCAAACTGACTTTGATATAATCAACCTGTCTCTTTCGTCTTACGTTGTCAGTTTGTCGAGGAGAGAAAGTATATTTATAGGTAGCTCATTGCAGCAAATCAAGTAATGACTACGTTATTATTCAAACAGATAATTGATTTTAATTTGATGCTTCTCGATATGCCGTGAAAGTTTATTATTAGGTTTGTTAATTGAAGTACTAAATAGGATGCTAAATAGAGTATCAGTTATCTTCAGTTGTCTTTTGCGAAATGAAAAAGTATTTAAAGCAACGTCGTAATGCTTTAGCAACGTAAATAAAATTTTAAACGTATCACGGTATATAACATTTTTTTAATCTCCTTTGTCTTATACTCAGCTTTTTATAAGAATATTTTGATTTACTGTCTAATGGAAAAAAGTGAAGGAGACCGACACTGGTAATAGAAAAAAAAAAGAAATAGAAAGGCAATTTAATGATTGTGCCCTATGAACTGTGTATCTATTATTTGCTAGAAGTACGGAAGCAAATAGTTTAAAAAATGATACATAATTGCAGTATAATTGCTTATTAGAAGGATATATTCAATTAAAGATAAGTGAAAGAGCACAATTGCTCACTTATAAATAACAGTTTGAAATATCAATTATTTATTGTAATACGAATCGAATTGTTGTAATACGTAATTATAAGCTTATTATATAGAACTAAATTTTTTCTTGAATTATATGCTAAAAAAATCTGATTTAATATAAATATTTGTAAATACTGTATATATAGAGTAGATAGAAATATAATGTAGAAAGATGGCTTATATTTTTCCAAAAAATTATATAATTATATAATTTTTAATTATATTATGCAGAAGTATGCTTTACAAATGATATGTTGATAGCAATAGTATTCAATAATTCGCTAAACTTCATGCACTTAACGTATATTTGTGTTTCCTCAAATGTTTTCTTTTATTGCATACTTTCGTAGACGGTTTCGCTTACTTATTACATTATACACATTATATTATCTTGCTTTGCAAGGTGTAAAGTATTCTTATTTAGGTTGTAGTTTTGACGAGAACGATTAAAATTTCAGTCCACGCCAACGAAATCTTGGTTCGGGTTCTTTAGCCAACTGGTTGCATGGATCGTCTTCCTTCTTCAGTTCATCAGACTTCTATTCCTCCTTTAAAAAATAAAGGATGGATGTAACTCTCCTTAGATGATCTATATATTAGCTTTTTTGTAATCATATAAAAAGAGAATAATACGTTTCCACGAGTGAATTTTGCAAACAGTCTTGAGAACGTTGCTTCGAGTCGAGGAAGACGAACGCCTTGTACGAGATCGCCGTACTAACAGAATTTACTTCTGAGCTTTCGGCAGGTTGCTTACGAACGCTTGACGATTTTCGTCACGCCCTTAAAATGGAGCTCTTTAAACGACCTTTTCAGGCCACAAAACCAAGCTTGACGAGTCTGTTCTCCGAAAGATCCAAGCTGAAACTGGAGTTAGCTAGAAGATTAATCAAACCCGAACTGAATGTTGACGAGAACGATTTTGATGTAACAACGGCTGCTTATTCCAATAAATCAAAAGCGAAAGAAGTTTCGACGGTCAGCGAAAGCAGAAATATAGAGAAAACAACAAAAGCGACCAGCAAGCTCATTGGTACTCGTGCCACACATGGAAGTTCGACAATTGCGAGTGCGCCGAAAGAAAAATCAATCGTAAGAGGAAGATGGAAGATCTTAGAGACCAGAAAATCAGCAAAAGATCGAAATATTAAATCTTCACTTAGATCACCCACCGGTACTAAAAAGATCCGAGTGACTTCTGAAAGAGCATCTTCGTTCATCGAAAAAACATCGTCGAGGAACGTTACAGAACTTAACGCTATACCACGTTTAATTACGGTTTCACATCGCGGTGCTGTTCCCGTAGAAGGAACGGCCGCCACGACAAAAGTCCAATCTCCGACGAGCACCATGGCATCGCAGGATGAAGTGTCAACGTTGACGAATACAGTGGAAGCTATAGAGGAAAACACCATCATTACAACAGTCGAACCGCTGAAGCCAGATAAAACATTCATTGAAACTATTACTGCAACATCAGGTGCTGTCACTGATGCACCAACAACAGAATCTAAAGTCCTCACGGAATTCCCTCAAGAAGTTACACTACCACCGACCGTTACCACGGTAAATGATATACTTTCATCGTCCACATTATCAACATTAGAAAAAGTATATCCTGTTTATATTGCGAATGCGAATGACTTGTTAAGTGATAAAGAAAAGACGACAATCCTAAACGATTCGAATAAGGGCAGCGTTCGATCTCGTTATACAAGTCAGGGGCAACCGAACAAGGTAACAGTTTCTATGGTGACATCGAGAACCGTTGGACCCACTAGTAGATACATCCGGAAGAAATCCGGCGTTTTCACGCCTTACGACTCCATTCCCAAGACATCCAATACGGAAGCGACGCTTACGCAGACGAAACGACGAGAATTCCGTCCGCGAACATCGACTTACAGGAGGCATTCCGAGGTGCCAACCAGCCAGCTGGTGATTCAGCCGCCGACGACGGTCGAGCAGACGACCGCTGGCGTAACTATCACCCCAAAGCCGACCAAGTATCACGCTCAAGTTGAACCGAGCACTCGATCTTTACCCTTTTCACGATCTTCACCCGATCCGTTAGTCAGCGTGAGGATTGATACCTCAAACGATACCACTTCGCGAGTGTCCGGTATCGCCGGAAGCAGCAATGGTAATAGCGGCAATTCCAACATCTTCAACCCCACTAGGAGCACGTATCTCACTACGAATACCACCACGCTACTGGAGCAACTACGGAGCACCGTGGCACCGCTCTTGAACAACTTAGGTGACAAGACCCCCATCTTCTCCGGAGCCTATTCTAATGTGAATACAGGGGTGAGTGATTAAATGATTTTCGGAAAATCTTTTATTTTCTGATCTGATATAAAATTAAATTAATACGTGGATCTTAATTTTGTATCTATAATTGGAAAAATAATTTTAATACATCTTATATTTTTATATATTTAAGCAGAAAAGTGTTCACTTCTAAGGAAATATTTCTGTTTTATTTTGAAAATATGTTGTAACTTTTATACCTTAAGGAAAAATATACTACAATATATAATTTTTTCTACATATAGAATTCAGCTCCCAGGATAACACCTAACGGTTCCCCGCCCAGATTCAGTGCGAGATACAAAGGAGCAGAATTGCTTGTAAGAAAACCGTCCGTTGGTCAAGCTGTAATACCATCGATCACAACGTCATCGACTACGGCTTCAACATTAATAGAGGTAAGACTTTTGAGGATTTTGGAAAAAATTTTGTAAGGGAACGTTGTCGTCATTGAGGAGAGACGAACCTTTTTTTTGTTTAACTAATGCACATTGTATAATCACCTTTCAATTACATGTTGTGTACTCAGTCGAATAGAAAGCGATAATTCGTAAACTTGTTAGCTTTAATTTTACGTTTTAATAGATTTGCGTCGACAACATTCTTATTTCTCAACATTCTTCTTTGATATAGTATTTCTTGTTATTTTATGATAAATATATATATATATATATGTTTATCATAAATATTTCGTGTTACACATGTTTTTTGTGAATATCTCGCGTTATACATGTGATGTATTTGTAGAAAAAAAACTCTTTTACTTTTAAAAACAATAACGACGATACTGCGAATTTACAGTAATATATTTACAGTAGTATATTATATGTTTTTTATACATGTATGACTGAATATTACATTTGACTTTGTTATTATTTCAAGACAAACTTCTAGTATTTTATATATATATATATATACATATATGTATATAATACTATATACATATAGTATTATATACATATATGTATATATGTATATAAAATGCTACGCTACTCTACTGTATGTGAAGTGTATTTTTCACATATAGTCTTAAAATAAGTTTTAATAAATCATAATACAAAAAAAATCGCGGAAGAAAGATCCAGGTAAGGCAGTATGCAAGCCGTACGCATTAATGGTTCCCTTCAGGAGAAATTACGTGAGGTAATTTTCTGTGCTTAAAAGGTGTTCCCTACGAAGGTACCAGAGGATTCTGAAGCAGTTGCACCGCCATCGTGGACCAACTCTATCACCTCAACCCCATCAAGCAATTTCGTACTTATTCATATCGATGCAAACCACCTGCGTTAATTTGACCACCCTTTAATAAGAAATCGTTTCAATTCGTCACATTCTTTTTATTTTTTTTATCTCTTTTAGCGAATAGCCGAAGTATAACAACTGTCGTACGAGTTACAGATGCATTTTTTAAATCGTATTAACAATAGCCTTAATTGATTTAGTTTATGTTCATTTGTGAATATCAACGCACTAAAAAGGGCACATTTCTTTCGCTTCGAAAGAGCACATTAGCACAAACATAATCATTGCATAAACGATCTGGGATTAAGGTCGATTTATAAAGATCATTAAATATCACGTTCTAACACTTAGGAGAAGGATTCGTCTCGAAAGATTAGAAGGATGACTTATTAACTTCGAGGAAGATTAATACACGGTCATCGATTCATGTCACGTTATCTCATAGCACTCACGAATCATACACTATATACATATGTGCAAATATTGTACCATACAATTTTATATTTTTTAATAATAAATGTATTAATTTTTTAGCATTGCACGCGATAAGCAATTGTTTGTCCTTACTTAACCATGTAAAGTTAAAATTTGCAAATATATATATTGTTATGAAAAAAGTATAAATTTTTTTAAAGAAAAAAGAAAACAATAAATATATTAATATAATTTTTAATTTAATTTTTATCGTACTTATGTTAATGTATTTACAAACATAACAGAATTGTGAACAAACATGACTGAATTAGAAAAGTAGTTGAGTCGTTTTGGGCAAACACATACATGATATTTTTCTATAACACTCCTTAGCTTACATCGACTGTAAAAATAAATTTGTTTAAATATACAATATATACAATATATACAATGCAAAAAGGTAAACAATTTACGGACTCCAATAATAACTGCAAGAATCGCAAGAACCATTTATAATCAAAAAACTTATATAATAATTGGATTATTTAGATATAATTATAGAAGTGCAAAATATTTTTTATTATTTTTAATAAAATATCGAAAACATATCACAACCTTTCGATAACATTGAAAGTACATACACCTCTGTGTTTCTTCAGTTATTTTCGATTACATCGATTTTTTATAATGTAAATAAATTTTATAACATAAATAAATTTTTGTACTTTACTATATCATCAAAGAATTGTCAACGTATTTATAATAAATCCAGATATTCGTTTCACTGTTCGTTTCAACATTTATCATGCATCTGTCAGATTGCATCTCTATCCGTAATATTTTATCTCGCTATTGTATCTTAAATTCAAGAGTCATCGAATGCACATACAATCTATCCTGATTCTATAAAGACATTTTGCATGCTCCATCTCATTAAGAAAAATATCGCTCTTGGACAGCGAGAAGTGAAAGTATATATTTATGCATATAGAGATATATGTATAGTGAGCATTCTATATTTTCTATCTCTCATTGTAGCACATAATAAAATAAGAACGATACAAAATATAAATGGAAGAAGAATATGTTGCCATTAATTATCCTTTACTATCAATATATTTCACTTTTCTATTAATTTATTTCGGAATTATTCTATTTTAATATATATTTTTACATAAATTTTTTTCTTATAAAGTATTTTAAAATATCGAAGCAATTATTCAGAATCGGATTAATTTTACGTGATAATTTTCACAACTCTAGCACTTCGCACGTGCCACAAACATTTGTTTTTGAGGCTTCCATCAGGCAATCGTGCGAGAAATTGTTAATGCAACACTTCCGTAATAATGTAATAGCGAAAGTTCGTCAGTGGAGGTCTCTGTAGATACAAGGTAAGAGCTGGTAATATCCTAAAGAAGAGAAAAAAGTATCGGAGACGAGAGAGGAAACTGGTCTCCGCTATTAATATTTTTAATCTTAAGAACAAGTTCCAAGTCACAGTTGTTACATCAAGACTTTATTCGGCGACAATTCTCCTTCCTCTTGCCTTAGTTCGTACGTGTACTTAAAGATGATATATGCTCATGTATTTTCTCAAACTGATCCTACATTAGTCCCAATCGATCGCAAGCTTGTTGCGATAGTTAATCTAATAAGCATTCATTTTTAAATTGACGCTTTAGATTCGCTGTCAAAAGTTTGCGATCGATTTGTGACTGATGCCACATATAACGTCCACTTGTATAATTGTATGTACTTGTCATAAAAATGTTTAGCTATATATTAGGCCATAAAAATATTTTCATCAAATAACACGCTAATCGCTAATATGAGATATTGTATATATTACAATAATTGCGTTGTATTCATTTGAGTGCACATCTGTAAATGCATATCTGTAAATAGAACAACTAAAACGTATTAACTCTTAAACGCGCAAACTACTATTGTTATTCATGCTGTGATTAGCATTTCTGTAAGCTTGAACTAAGCTCACGCCAAAGCTAGACGCGCTTAAGGGTTGAAACGCCGCCCTCAACATGTAGATTACGCGTGTTACAAAAAGCCTTCTGTTAACCGACTTCCGTTTGTATTCGACTACTTTGTCACCGTAATTGCACCAAAGTGTGTACAGCACTCGCACGCACCGAATTTCTGATTGCAGAATTCCGGTTCGGCACCACCCGTTGCCATCAACAGCCCCGGCGAGCCGAGATTCATCACTTTTTATCAGGCATTAGAGTCGGCTAGCATAAGGAATGAAAATTTGGGCGCGGAAGACGTGTCTCAGCGGCAAAGACTAACTGGCGTGGTAACGAAGGTAGACCCTAACGCTACTGTACCTAACGGCGCCAGTAACGATATTGCTAACAACAATGACACCATCGCTCCATCAATCGCGACTACTACTACTACATCCTCCCCAGATATCACTATCGTAGACACTACCATTGCCGTACAGTCGGCAAACAATTCGCTCGCTTTGATATTAGGTGCCGAGAGTAGTACCGATGGTAGTCCGGAAACCACCACGACAGTACAAACCCCCGCAAATCCGGACACAAATGGAGGAGAAACGACTCCAGTCCCCACCTCGGAAACGCCCGGGACCACCGTCCCTGTTAACACGATAACGAACACTCCACCATCCACCACTACTGAAACTGCCACGTCGACAAGCATCACCGATATAACTTTGGCAGCAGAATCCTCCACAGAATCCATTCCTAACGACGTTCAATCCACTGAACTGAGCACCAAAACCACGGAAGTAGCAACGCTACCCATCACTGAAACGGTGAACACAAGAGTATCCATGCCAGTTTCTCAAAATCTGCAAACGGCGAATGATACATCGGATACAACAATATCACCCCCAATCACCAATAGCGTTACCGTGATGCACGTTCCACCGGAAGCGACGACTATACTCGCGATGAACGACACGTCGGAGAATATTGAGACGAATATCATGCAACAATCTGAGGAAACGACGCCTCGCCTAACAGAAACGACCATCATAATCGAGAATATAGAAACAAATACCATACAGCAGTCTGATACGACGAATCCGTCTCAAACAACGGAAATTACGAGCACTGCTGAGCCAACCACGACCGAAGAAATTTCGAATGACGTAATCGAAATTCGTACGACAGCGATACCTGCTTTCTCAACTACATACCGCACACGATTAGTCGATTACGCGCAAGATATTCTATCACTTTTATCGCAAAAGGGAGTTACGACGATTAACACACCAATCCAAAGACCTATCGCTATGACGACCGTGTTTCCCGAGCTGTCCAATGTGATACCGGATTCGTCGTCAACAAATACAGAGAACCCGGCGCAACCGGAAGAGACAACTACCATACAGATAGCTGGACCGGGTATCGATGAAACGACGGAGTCATTTGATGTAGAGTTCGTGTCGATCACGACGGATGGATCAGAAGAGATCAATCGAAATACAGTAGATGTAAATATTATGCTTCAGGGTCAATCTAACGACCAAGGGATAAACGCACAGAATACATTGGATTCGAATACAGCAACGGAACAAACATTTTCGAGTACCGTAGGCAACGAGCGCAACACGGCATCAGATCCCGAATCGACAACGACAACTCAGGATGCGCGAGCTCCAATGACAGATGGAGAAATTGTGACCACCACGATGACACCGACCTCGCAACTCGTTGAGTCCGTTACGGAGAACGATTCCCGATCGTCTAATGATACGTTACTCGCTGAGCTAATGACTATCGCGAAGACTCTCTTCACGGAAGCGATGAACGACACACGACAGTTGGGTCAAACTGACGGCACGGTAGGAAACGATAGAAATCGAACCGTGTTGAATGTCACGTCAGAAGCTACCACTGCACCTTCCGAACTTTCGGAACCTTTAGAAAACACTACCGAACGTATAGACGTCACAACACTCATTGATTTATTTGGAAATGAAAGAGGAGATAATTCTACCCGCGGCCCTGTTGTAGGATCGAATATTTTGTTAGTGGAATCTAATGCGCGATCCACCAATGTAGATGATGTTACCACAATGTCCCTTTCGCAGATGAAGACCGGAATATCAAACATCACTACGGTTACGGCCAGCATGAGTTCTGAACTAACTACTAATACGCCTGACTCACAATTATCTAATCCAATTGAATCATCCAGTAACAATACTGAACAACAAACTATTACGACAGTTTCAAATAACGAGACTCAGTTGTTGAATCGGTTATTAGAATTCGCTACCAATAATCCTTTAGCGAGCTCTGTTATCGCGAATACAGAGGGAATGCTGTCCACGTTCGACGTAAACAATTCCACGACGTCGGACATGGTAACAGAATTAACTACTAGTGTAGCTATGACGGAAATGAACGTTGTACAAACGAATGCCATAGATACCACTAATCAAACACCGATACCCACCACGATAATGTCTGCATCTGACCTGCAGGTTACAAACGATCAATCCCTCATAGCAAATGCATCGGATATCACTACAACACTTCCAATGGTATCCGATACGAGCGATACTCAGCCATTTGATACAGAACCTCCCATCACGGAATCAGTTCGTAACTTAGTAGGCTCCACCGACACTACCACTAATCAACTCAACGATATAACAACAAACGCCCCTCAAATGCTAACCGATCTCGTAAGCGAGATGCCAAATTTTATTGCCCGTTTACAGGATACAACGTCAACAACAACCGCCCAAGGGACGGCTGGTTCGAGAATCATCCAACCCGAGCAAACGACCGAAACCATCATCACTATCACCACCACCATTCCTAACATCACAACATCTTTAACATCAACAATCGATTCCACCACATCCCCCGTATCCTCTACCAACGCATCAACCATCCCATCCTCATCAGTTGAATCAACCATAGCAACTACGACAACGGAGACCACGACGACGACAACATCGACAACTTCCCAAACGACATCAACGGAAGCGTTACCGCGATCCGAGTTCACTACCACTGTCGAATCGACGTCTGAAATGACGACTACGACTGCCGACATAAACGATAATCTTGTTTCCACTGAGACAACGACTGATACCTCGACTACGCAAGGCACAACAGTCGTCCCGACTGAATCGGAGGATCTGAACATGATATCGAGAATAAACGACGGAGAAGAAATGATGACAACAACGACAACAAGTGTCGCACCACCCACAAATGGCATAAATAATACGTCAACCACAACAACCACGTCGACGACCGCACGGACTACTGTGCTAAATCGAGTATCATCATTTCCGGCATCTACACTTTTCCAACCAGGACCCTATCTGGGACGTTTCGGTGGCAGCCAAATGACTCCACTTCCGAGATCCAGCTCCTCTAAGGCTCCTGTTCGTGACTACTTGATTTATGGTATTTATCCTAACAAGACCATTGTGCGGAAGCGACCGGAGGACAATGTGATCGACGGCAGAAATGTAGACAGCCCGTACGTGATATTCGGCATCTTTCCGGACGGCAGACTAGTTCGGAAGTTTCCCAACGGAACGATAATACCAGATTCACCCAGGAACCCGGTCGAGGTTGTGTTCACACTTAGAACTACCACTACTACTAACCGACCAGCACCCAGGCCATATTATAACCAGGCTAACCAAGCAGGCGTTTATAACAACCAGTATCAAGTCCCGGTGTACTATAGTAACGGTAGACCCATGGATGACCTGACGAGAGGCGCCCAGAGCCCCGGATCTTTTGATTTTGGACTTATTGGTAATGCGATCGGCGTTACCCCTGGAGGCCCTAATTTCACGGGACCATTTGGTCCCCCTGCTAGCGTCCCAAGCACAAACAAAATGGTATCTTTATCTCATCTCTTCATCAAAATCATACTTTATACGTGCAATGAATTTGATCAAGAATCAAATCGCGATTGAGAAACGAGTCACGTTTCCTGGCTCTTTAGACATTTAGAAATCGTTGCCATACGAAAATAACTTAAAGTGATTTAATATTAATAGAAATCAGAATTTTATTAGAATAACTATCTAAATTTTATTTATAATTTTTATACTTTTCAAAAAATTGCAAATTTATCTTCAATTTTTAAAAGCTGTCGTTATTTTAGTACACATATTTTATAAAATATAAATATTCATCCAGTTTGCGGTTACAGCCTAAAATTTTTAAAAAATATATTTAAATATAAAATTATATTAATATTAATAAGAAAAATTATATTAATATTAATAAAAAGCAAATAATCTCATGCTTAGCGAAATGCGGATATTCATGTAACGATCAGTACTTCTAATTCTTTTTATTCCTATTGAACGTAAAGTTAAGTTTCATAACACACTCTCTTTCTGTCTCTCGCTGGATTATGTAATATTGATAGATTAACAATTCAGTTTCTTGGTATAACTTTATAACTTGTTTTCGTAGCTTCTTTTTGACAGACTTTTTTCTCATAATATACATGCTTTACATTTTCGTAATTTTAATGAAACGCAATTTAATACTTTTTTCCAGGTCAAAAATATCGAATGCTGTACAACGGCTGTACATAGAGTATCGTTGTAAATTTTGTAAATAGTTGTGACAATTTATAGCACTCTTGTTCGCCCATTTGCACTTTAAATATTTTTTTACGCACTGTATCTTTTGTTAGATGTAGCATACACAATCTGACATTTCACTTGTATTAAATATTATTAATATATTTCATAATACATACATAAAAAATATTTTATAAAAATTTATTATTTTACAGATTTTGTCATCTAATGAGCACGACATGTGTTATACCACGGTTAAAAAGAAATTACTTTTATTATTCTATTGAATTTCTTTTATTAGAGCTGTGTTCAAATATTTTTATATTTTGCGTTAAAATAAATTGTGTAGATGAATATACATTTTTACCGTTACGGAATTTATTACAGTCTCTAATCTCAGATAAATTTATTGAAAACAATACTTTGTTCTTAAAAATCACAAAATACATTTTAAATCTTTATTATATCATTATAAATTTATATAATTAGGTATTTAAATAAAATAAAATTTTATGATATTAAAAATTAAAAGAATTGGAGGTATTATGAAAATATTTATTAAAAAGTATTAAAAGGCATAAAAGTTATATATTTTTATTTCATAGCAAATGATACGATCGCACTAATCTTGTTCCCTTCGTAATATTGCAAGTTTATGAGCTCTATTTCTATTCACTATATATAAAGTTTTTGTAGCAACATTATTAAATGCGGCATGTAAATATTTCAGAGCGATATTTTATTAAATTCTCAAATGGATACGTTGCCGAACTCATTCGGTAATCAGAGGCCAAGTAGCAGTCAAGTACAAGGCCCTCCAAGGATCATCCAGGATCACGAAAGAAACGAAGCTTCTCGGACAAGAGTGACGTCTGGTCAAAACAGTGCTGTATATATCGGACAGGTAGTACATAAAATCACATTATGTAATTATTTACTAAAGGAGAAAACACTTGAAAGCGCAATCATAAATATTTCAGGATAAATTTATTAATTATCAGATTGATGGTGCACCTGATATCAATCCAAAAGTCGTTGATGTAAGAATAAATTCAGTGGCTGTAAGTAATCGAATGATAATTTGATATTTCTTAATGTTGGATTTCTTTTTATTAATAAATTTTCTTGCTTCTGTTTGTTAACAATTTGAAAATTAAAAATTACTCATGCTTTTCTTTATTGCTTATTGAAATAAGAATATTTCATATTGAATATAGTCTACTATATAAGATGTCATGATACGAGTATCGTATTTTTTAATGACTTACTAAACTAATAAATATTGCCAAAAAAAAAATGTATAAACAATAACTACTGTGGATAGTCGAAATATAGAAATACAAAATAGAATTATAAAGTTACTAAAATATTTGTTGTCAGACTTCTGTGAACGAAGGCACGGCATCATCTACAGCGTCGAACCCGTCTTTTGAAAATTTACTGAACAATCAATCGGGTGGTAATATAATAACAGCACCTCCTGGTTTTCCTTGGAGAGATCCTCTTGATCAGATATTTGGTATCACTACCAACTCACCTATGCAAACAGCATCTGTGGCATCAAATCAACTAGTGCGTATTACATAAAAATAACAAATATTTTAAAAAATTAAACAATAATATTTAAATATTGTTAAAATATGGTTAAATATATATTAGAAGTTTCTATTAAATAATAGATTTCCCAAAATTGTTACATTTATTTTAAAAAACACTGAACAATAAATGACATTTAAATATTTGTTACACTTTCTGTTTTTTCGTTATATTTTTTATTTATAAATATATTTTCTTTAGGACGAGCCAATCGGAAACAATGCACCGATTGTGTCACGTGTAAATTCCATGGTGGAAGTTTTCACACCAATCGTGAGCACTGCAGTAACATCTCCATCCCCAATTACTGTAACTACAACACCTACTACTACTACTACTGTCAGTACCACCACTCCTACTACTACCAGCACTACCACCCCTACTACTACTAGTACTACTACACCTACTACTACTACTACTGTTAGTACCACCATTCCTACTACTACTACTACTAGCACGACCACTCCTACTACTACTACTACTACTACTAGTACTACTACAACACCGGCACCAACAACAACCGCAACGACGACTACTGCCGCTACTACCACTACCACCACCACTACAACTACCACAACTACTACTTCAACAACGACTCCTTCAACAACGACCACAAGTCAAACAACAACGCCAGGTATATTTATTATTCTTTTCCTGCTGGAAAAATTTCGCTAAAATTATTCCACGTTTTGAAACACTTTTCAGAAAAATTTTAATTTAATTTTAATGATTTTTAGCTGAAAAATTCATTTTTAGCAAAATTTCAAAGAAATTTCAGGAAATTTTCAATAATTTCACTTAAATGTTTCAAAACATGAAATAATCTCAACGAAATTTTTTCATCAGGGCTAGCTAGCAAAAGCCGCTTCTTTCATAAACTTCTTTTATATACTTACACTATACCGTATACAACAGCAAGTATAGGATCAGTTCCACCATCAACTACCGCATCGACAATATCTACGAATAACATATTAAGCAGATTACAAGCGAATACAGTGGAGAATCCCTTTGGTAGCACGTACGGGGATTTGGCTTTCCTGAATTCATTGGTAAATTTCGTTTGTTTTCAATTTATATTAGAGATCTTTTAATGTTCTCAAATAGCAAATAGACGTTTTGTCGTCATTTTGATGTTAAAATAATAATAAATGATGTTAGCTTGTTATCTAAATTATTTCTGTATTTAAATATCGAGAAATATTGTAAAATACTTGTGTAATGTAATGAACTATATAAATTAATATAACAAATAATTTTTTATTTTTTATAGTTACAAAACAACAATGTTAAGTCCACTACGCCGAAAACGTTAAGTGAAATAGAGCAATTATTAGCAAACAGGGTGAGCAAAATGAACATTAACATTTATAATAAGCACAAGTACGGAAAAGAAAAAATAATAATATTTTTCATGATCACAGTTATTATCCTCCAAATTAATACATAAAATGAACAAGATATTAAATTCGACTAATATTATGTTTCAAGTCCAAATCGGAGCGCATTTTACTGAAACATATATATATTAAAAAATTTACATTATTATTAAGTACCAAAATCCGTTTTGACCAAAAATATTAGGTGTTGGAATTAATTCGTAGCGTTTTACAAGTGATGGGAAGTACTTTCATTAATGTATTTTTTAATGCTCATGTGAAATAAATAACATTCTTTCATTAAAAACGCTACGAATTAATTCCAACACCTAATAGAATTCTTTCTTTTATTTGATTAATTCATATTTTTATAATAAATTCTTTCATCTTATATATTTTTTGTAGATTTTGTCGCTTGCACTGGCTAATCCTGGGCCAACGAGATCGCCAAAAGCTATTCAAACTGCGAATTCGAATGCGAATGTGAATGTAATTAAGAATCCATCAAAGAGCACGTCATTCGGATTGTCTTCCGAACCAATAATAATTGACTTATTACCACTTACGCCAAGCGTATCCAGCAGCACATCATCTACGAAGAAGTACACTGAAACAGCCGCGCCGACTAAAGCACCAGTCGTTATCACTGCCAAGCCTAAGACGACAGCCAGACCTAAAACTACCACCCCTCGAGCGCCTGTAGGATTTGGTTCGGGTTTATGGCGAGCATTGTTTGGCAATAACTTTTTCGACGCAACCACTGCAGCGAGCGCTGTAAAAAGGAAACCCACGATTAAGGCGACTCAAAAACCTGCCAGCTCCACCCAAGCACCAGCGCAGATCATCAAGTCGACGCTTACGAATCACGTAATGACCTCGATCAAATCGCCAACGACGCCAAGAAATGTAGATATTTCGGACATTCATGTATCTTCGAGCACATCGCTCGCAGACAATATCATTTCCGCGTCAACGCCAAGTACGATTTCAACTACGCTCTTAAATAATCCTAGATTGAGAGACGTCTCTACGTCTAAGTATTCATCCGAGGATGACGCGAAATTCTTGGCTGCGCTCCTGCAAGCAGTACAAACGGGTAAATCGTTTCCCTCTTTTATTCTTTTTTAATAAGATATTTTAATAAAATATACAATTACATTTATTTAATTGAAAATTAAAAAACAAAATATCTCACTAATTAAACGTTAATTATCTAAAAATGTGTCTTCTTATATCTTTTTGAAATTGATTTATAATTATTTTTACTGATTGTAAAAATAAGATAAGATTTCAAATGAAGAATAATAATCAATTTTTATATATAGTTAGTAATGATTTTTTCTTATTGTTAAATTTTGAAAATAGATTAATCGCAATTTTAAAATTGTAAATTCAATAAAGTTTTTTCAAGAATAGAAAGACCATTTTTAAATCCAAGAATAATTTCTATATTTTCCTAAATCGCTGATTTTGACTTTAGATTCCGATTATTAGTTTTTATTAATCCGTAATAAATAATATCTTATAGCAGAAACGAGAACAAGTACTTCGGCGACAACACGATTAAGTGAGGATGATGAAGCCTTTTTGAGAGCGATTTTAAATAATCAGGCTAGCATTTCTACCACAACATCGTCATCTACCGAAGTGAATCCTGCTGCTTTGCTGGCTCTACTCTTAAAACAACAAGGAATAGAACCCACAACACCAGCAACAAAACTTAGGGAACAATTACAATTATCAGTGAGTAATATTTCTTTCACGATTCTCTGAAATTCTTTATATAATTTATTGAAAAATATCGATAGACATACATGTAATGTATATCTTCTCGATCAGAGTCAAGGTCTGCTTACGCCAGATGCGACTTCGACCACGACTCGACCAACAACCACTAGACCGAGCACCATAGCGAAGCAAGTAGTGACATCGAGACCTTCTGCGAGACCAAGACCAACAGAGAATAGACTACAGACTACGACATGGGCTCCAAGTTCAACATATCCGCCTCCTCTCTTCGGAGGAAGTGGCTCGGGTAATGGATTGGTTACCGCTACTAGAGCCATAGGCAGATTCCTTGGCGCTGCCATTTCGGTAAACATTTTTTTTCAAATTTTACTTTCTCAACTAATAAGAAAATTTATTCTATTTCGTTCTGTGTATAACGAAAATAAATACACAAATAAAGTTTTGCAGAGAGTTTGTGCGTAGATTCAAAAGTTATTTTATAAAAAAAAAATATTATTTAAAAGCAAAAAAAATGTTATTTAGATAATAAATTATAATTAAAAATAAATTATTATGAAAACAAATTAAAAATTTTTTTAACCATTTTATCTTCTATCTTATATTCTCAAGTTTCTACATTTTTATGCTATACGTATTAACTATTACGAATTAATCATTTTAAAAAGATCATCTCATTGTATTAGTCATTAACATTTTTATTTTGGCTTTTAGGGTGCAGCTCAACAGTTACAATCTTTACTAAGAAATAGTACCAGAAGCGCAGCCGGATAACATTAGAATGGAAAAGGATAATATACATCAATTTTCAATCAACCTGAGAACAAATATCAGGATTGAGATAGTTATTAATTAATATCGTGCTTGCTGTTGAAAGTGCATATAATGGCAACATGGAAGTCGACAAAACGCTAGGAAAGTTCAATCAAGACAACAGGAAACTTGCTCAATTATTATGAGGACTATTATGAATAATAGATGAATAATAGATGAATAAGTCTCAAAATCATATTTTAAAAAATTTCTTCCTAAAAAAAATCATTTTCGGAATAAACAAATAAAAAAATATTAAATGTTGAATAAAAAATTCTCAATATAAAGAGTACTTAAATAAGTTTAAATCGACTAGTACAACGTACAAAGGTGTACTCGATGTCTTGACCGAACATTTCTTGTCGATTCCTCATCTAAGAAATGAATATTTCGTTCATTGTTGTTAATTATCACTAAATTTAATACCGATACAATTCTCATTGAAATTCGAAAAAGAAAGTTGAAAAATATATTAATTCATTTCATTTTCTTTACATTTAGAAACTCATTTTTAATTCAAAAGAATTCGATCCGACAGGAAGCCGAAGATATCGTTGAATAAATTTTTCTTTCTCGATATTTCTTGAGATAATCTTGTGACAAGATGTTCCGTGATAATTCGCAACGACGATTTCGAACGTCGAAACAATCCTAAAACTTTGCAAACATTTCCAAAGTAAGCCTATCGACTTTCCTCCGGGTGTACTTATGGAGATATTTGTAACGATCATTATAATTAAGATAATATACTAGCGCGACGCTTTTCATATCGTTACTTGTGTGCTCTATCAATGTGTCTTGTCTCTACGGTTTTTCTTCTTATTTTTCTACTGTCCTTTCGGTGAATGTGCTCAGTGGATTGTTAACGTCTTAATACTTTGCATGCGAATGACTCTGTAAAATATGGTATTTAGCAAGTTAATTTCGTGATAATTAAAATTTTTTAAGTCTAACTTGTGAGAAGTTAAATAATTGTAATAGACACTGAACTGTATGCAAATTGTATGCGCATCATCTGTATGCAAAGTTTTAAATGAAAAATTGTATGTTTCGATCAATACTTTTGCAATTTAGAAGAGAGTTCTTACTTCTTCAACATCTCGCCTTGCATCCGCGTATCAATATATATATATATCATACGCAAATTGTACATTATTAAATTAAATTGTTTTTAGAGAAAAAGGGAGCGTAACATAATTACGATTTTTTAATGTAAGGAGGGAGTGCAACGTAATAGTATTTTTTAATGTATGTAAATAATGTTATAGAGCGATTGAGAGAGAAAGATTAAGAATGGGGCAAAACTACTTGAGCAATTTTTTTTAAGCAACCAAAAAATTTAAATAACATCATAAATATTGAAAAATTTTTAGAAATATTCATTTAGAGATATTCTTCATATGACTTTTAGATGTCACGTTTATTCAAAAAGAGAAAGTTATCTTGATGTCGTCCCCATTCTGACAGTTCGGTATGTTTCGTAATTGATAAGGTATAAACAAAACTTAATATTTTTTAATATAGACTCTCTACTCAAAATAATGCAATTATTTAGATGTTTTTAATGTAAGTAGATATTAAAAATTTTATTTAATAAATTTTTAATTTCCAATTCTCAGTTTTACAGCAATTGAACTGTAAAATGTTCTTTTTTTATATAGGTATGTATAGAAAACTCGACATATGCGTCAAAATAATGTATGACATTACTTTATAATATTTTAACTAGTAGCCTCGTTAGCATGAAATAATTGTCATTCCTTGTAATACTACATTACATTAATGTACATATTTGAGTGATGAGCTCGGTTCAAAATTAATCTACAATCTCAATTCAACATGTTAGTATATTATATTAAAACTGTACGATAATTATAATTCGATGCTGTTCTGAAAAATCAAGCGAAACATTTTTTCTATGCTTATTGAAATCTGCAAATATAAAACTGTGGATTTACGGAGCTGTGAATGCATGGACCTATTATGTACATATAGGCAAAAAAATACATAAATAAAATATAGACATAATGCAAACACAATAATAAAAATTTCCAATAATTAAAAAAAAAAAAATAATTAAATTAAAAGGAATATTCGAAGTCAGCGCGATAAACAGTATGCAGTTCTATAATGAAAAAATTCTTTAATAATAAGTTGATATTGACAATTAAAGTTATAAAAGTTAACAAACCGGATTTGCGGCTTACTAATTTTTAAAACTTGAATTATTAATGTCGTTGACTTATTAAATTATTAAAGGTTTTTATTATAGAACTGCACACCATTTATCGCGCAACGTTTTTCCCTTTTAATTTTATTATTATTTTAAAATATAGAACTTCTGCGGAGAGAGGTAAATTATTGTCTTCTAATTAGAATGAACAAGATAAGCAAGCAATTTCCAATAACAAAACGCAGCGGTGGGTAATAAAATGCTGCATACTAAAAATGGTTGTGAAGATATTAAAATAAATAATTTTCTATATATATATATCATATCTACTATATATAAACAATACAATTTATCGAAATGGTTTGTTATAAAATTTGTTTAATTGGCTGCGTAAGTAAAATGCCATACATCGCGATATAATTTGACTCATAATTTATTTACTTATACTATGTACCGGAAGTTCGTAAGAAAATCAAATAATATTTATGAGCAATAATTATCTTTTTTTCTTATTTAAATCGCATATATATAATTCAGTCCGTTTATATGTTATGATATAGTTACACACCCAGTGTAAGTCTGTACATATGTATAATCGGTTATTCCTATATATCTCATATAGTAATAAACGTAATAAGTTGTATCTTCCTACTATTAGTTAACATTACGGCGCCAATTGTATTACAGTTATAAAGTATCTTGATATATAGATGATGCCTTTCTCGCAGTTGCTGTAATATTTATTCAAAATACGCATCGAATGCCTTGTAATTATAATGTACATTTGCATATTAAACAACTTCTCACATTAAACAGATATTACTTTATCAACCCACGATTTAATTGTATATGTGATGCGTAATTGCAAAAGTATTTATTAAAAATGTATGTATCGAACGTTCTTTAATTGTGATATACTTGCACATTAAACAACTTCCCCATATTAAACGTATGTTACTTTATTTACATTTGAGCGACGGATACAGAGTAACTTCTATCGAATTGCAGTAATACTAATTGCTATCATTACTAATAAAAAATAAACGTCATAATCATAATGACATGACAGATAATCAATATCGATACGTAATATAATTAAAAATATTTAAGAGAAGTATGACACAATGCAATGCGTATTTCTTAACTTTGTTAAGTTAACGAGCCGGGGCGATAACATGTTAAATCATACAAAATTTTACAGAGACAATAACAGAAAAAGATTTATCAGATCTATTCCTTCAGATACTGTTTCTAAAAAAAAAAATACATATAATTGATTTGCAATATATGATAGAGCAAATAATTATAATGCTTAAGTTCTGATACGTCTTTACATTGCGATTTAGCATATTATTGCCTCAAAATTCTTTAATTATTTAAAATCCTTATACCGCCGTAATCACAGATTTCTAGAAAGAAGATTTATAGAAATCCGTGATCGTAACAATGACAAGTGAAGGTTTGACAGGTTTGTATGTACACAGAGAGGGAGATGAGATAGAATGAATATAATGATAAATGTACATAAAATGTATTATAATGCTGCAACTGCACACCGTGATCTCATTAATCCCAGTCTTCACATTTTCTATTGTCTCATTCTTTCTTTACTCCTATAGTAAATTTTTTATAGTAAATTCCTATAGTAATTTTCTAATAACATAAAATACAAACATTATACATTCAGATATACGCATTGTATGTATTTACTGTGCACTAGCACAAAAAATAACTTGGTAAAAGATGAGTGCTGGTTAAAAGTTGCAATATATTAAATCTTTTAAAGAAAATGAAATACTGAATTCATCAGACACAAATTTTATGCACAATTCTTACAATAAACTAGTGTTTTGGTAATCAATTATTACAAATTACTATTATTATATTTAAATTATATACTATACTTTCGACAAGATGAAAGAACATAATAATTCTTCCATTTTGTCGAAAGTATTTCCGATAAAAAATATCACTTTTTATCAATTTTGTCACTTTTTCTATTATTAAATGCGCCAATTCCAAATATATAAAAAATTTACTAGAAAATTTGATAAATCATCAGTTCAAATTTCTAGTATTAATTATTAAATCTCAAATTAAATTTAAAAAAAATCATTTTAAATGAATGCCATAAGATAATTTCATTATCTATTTGCATTCTTAAACTTATTTCATTATATAAATTACTTCTTTGTTACAAGGTTTTAGAATTATTTACGATGTATATTTTGATCTTAACATTGGAATAGCTGTCGCTCTTCTTAAATATACAATATCTGAATTTATGCGTACTTAGTTACAAATAATGATGTTCGCAAATAATATCCAGTTGTCGATCAATTTGTTGATTAATCTGACACAAGGAATAAATGTACCTTATATATATATATATATATATATAAAAGGTATATATATATATATATATATATATATATATATGAGATAAAAAAAGAGAAATGGGTACAACTAAAGTTGACTATGCATTTCATGCATCTATCAGCAACATTCAGGTGTACAGTTATAGCATTGAATACAATGTATATATACATTCCAATTCAAGTTAGGAGTCCAAGATACTAATCACTCTAAGACTGTCAAAAACGATATTTTCAAATGATCCTAAAAGGATCATTACTGCATTATTTGTACTGCACAGAATATTTCTAGATATACTACAGAGCATACATAGATAAAATTATGTTAATGATCTTCGCAATTTCTCAATAAATCATTCCTCGGTATAACTAACAACATTAGGGAATAATCGTAACAAAGTGGGAGATAAAATCGAACGATACAGGCTACATATGTATATCTATGTTAGAGAATTATGAATATTCAGTTATTCCTCTTATTATTTGCAATAAACCATTAATCTTAATCAATTATTCATTCTCATGATATATTACTGCTGCTGTACACAATGTCGGATAATATTAGTTTGACATACAACATGTATTAATACATGTGCAAAAGGTAATCTGAACTACATTAAAACTTGAAGAGTAGATCATCCTATATTCCAAAGGAATGATTAAAAGAGAGCATGTACAAAGGATTCGTCATTTAGCTTCGAGATCAACATGTACAGGAATATATGCAGCTATAATAAAAATAAATTCGTGTGTTAATAAATAAATAACAAACATACATATTATAGAGTGTGATGTTTAGTGGAAGACTGTATTAAGGGTCGATATATAAGAGATTAAACTTTTTATCTTAAACTTTTTAGAAGCAAGGGTCTCAAGAATACAGTTGAAATATTGGAATTAGAAATTAGAGTTACATTATTACATTGCTTTAATAAATGAAAATGATATTGTCAATAAATAAGATGACTATGAATGAAGTAATTATATTTTTCATAATAATCATATAAAATGGCAATGGTTATATAATAAAAAATACAAAAACTATAAAAAAAATTACCATCAATAAATAGCATAATAAATAAATGTAGAAAGAATATACAGGTGTATGTATAAAACAGACTAGAGTTTGATGATTTAAAAAAAGATAAACATTGCGCGAAGTATCTTCACAGAACTTTTTTGTATATCTATTCATCGAATATTGAATATTAACAAATTTTCTGTTTGCATATTTTAATAAAAATGTATAGCAGAAGTATTGATAATATATAAATTAACACAGTAATAAAGCATTTAAGACACTGTCAAAGAAGCAATAAAATTCCAATTAATTATTCAATGATTAATCTTTTTATGTATCAATTCTAAATAACTATGCAAGTATTGCTACGCTTATAATACGAACTGTCTTAACATAATTTCGCATAAGAAGTCTATTAATTTTATTTCGCATAGAAGTCTATTAATTTTATTATAAATATTAGTAATTCATTATAGATACTCATCAATTTGTAATAAAAAATAATGGACAAAATAACAGAATAAGATGATCCGTAATTATTTTTTTATCTGATGTATAATGTAGCGTTGAATCTTGCAATACTCACAACTGTATCCTTCATTACCCTTAATCTGCAAATACTTCCGTTTACATAAGAGTGCTGGGCAATATTTTATAATTTTCAAATTAAATAATTTTACATGAATACACTACAGTGTTAATTTTTACTATAACAAACTGCTAAAATTAGTTTTACTATTTTCTACTTTGGAATACTAAATTCACAAGGCATTTCTAACATATGAGCACTTCTAATATACAAATAATCAGTTACACGAAAAAATAAATTTTTATTTATTTATGACAATAATAATCCAAAGCAATAGAAAATTTTAAAAATTTAGGAAAAGAATGACATGACAAAATTTATAAAATTTATATATTTTTCATTTTACAATATAAATTTTCATACTTTTTGTAAAGAAAATTTACTCAAGTTAATTTGTAAGCTAATTATTTAAAATCATTGTATTACGACAAAATCTATTCCTCTTCTAAATATACAATATATTAAGAAAATAAAAAATCATAGAATATATAAGAGCTTATAAATTAAATCTATCTTTTATTATTTTTTAGTTTCGATCCCACAAAAGAAATTAAAATAAATTATTTTGGCAATTAAAAACATTTATTTCATTCTTTTAATTGAACGGATAAAATAAAACTTGACGTTCGTATTAATGTATAGTACGACTAAAAGTTCCAAGTATATTTATTAATAAACATTTATTAATAAATAAAATTAAATAAAAATTGTAATGCAATACTTATACAAAATGACATATTAGCAAACGCTGATCACGGTATTTAATCAATAATTGCAGAAATGTTATGTAGAAGATGTTCGAACTTTTTGATTACCTTGTGATAACTTTATAGTATATTACATTGTATGTATGTATGTATGTATATATGCATACGTACAGGGAATAAGCAAAATAATGTAAATATTTAGGAAATACTTATTTTATTAATAAAATGTTGATTTACCATTTGTTTTAATAGATTCTATCTTTGTTAGAGAGTTATGTTTAAATAGCATAAGAATTGCTACAATGCAATATTATATTATTTATCTAGAATATTTTTTGTTTAGAAAATATTGGAGGAAAAAATCTTATTCTCACTTTACTCTTTAAATAAAAAGAAATACGAATGATTTGATGATATATAAATGAAGCAATTACTTGGCTAGAAAAAATATTAAAGTTTTAGAGAAGATAATTTTGGAAAATAGTGAGAAATAAATTTCCTCCTCTAATATAATTTATATGAGCAAGCAATTGAAAGATCTTCTGCTAAAGGATTACATTGGCAACAATTCAGGCATTGTGTGACTCTATTCCAAAACATGTATTAAAAGCAAATAATGGGCTAATTTCTTATTAATAAACAGTGTATTTCTCAGGTGTTTATATTATTTTGTTTATCCTTTATATATCATATTATATACGTGTGTCTTTGTGTATGTACATATATAAATTCATACGATAACATGTTTGATATTTCCCGTTTACTAATTTGGATGCTCAGCACTCTTATCTTATAACGGATTTAATTTTATACACAAACAGTTGAAGATGAATTAACGTATGAGGCAGGTAGCACAGATACGTTGAGGCCCGATGCAGTCATCGTGGCAGAAGGCACCACACTGCCGACAAATTACCATGGCTCCTCGCATATTACATTCACACGGAGGTGGCGGATCGCCGCCAATTATCATGCCGGGTGCACCAGGTTCCGCTCCGCCTGTCACTCTGCTATCCGCGCCTCTTGCTTTCAGGGTGACAGCCTGATGAGAACCCTCCCCGGCGCTGGCCGGTCTTCCTCGAACTAAATGAACCCCAACGCCCATTCCTGCGATCTGTGGCGGTAATGGAGGCGCGGATGATGCTCTCGGTGCACTGTCTCCAACTCCCGTCCTTTGTACAAGTATATATTGCCCGAGACCATTGCTGGTGGTAGAACCAAGCTGCGCTATGGGAGTGCTTTCTGTAACCTATAAGGCATTGAAAATTTAATTAAGAAAATCATTACAAATATTTTACGCAACTTGAACTGATATATTGCACGTTCAAGCTATTTTTAATCGACAATAGAAATATATTAAACAAATAACATTTCAATTAGCATTCTAGTCTGCTTGCGTAAGTACGTTTGTTCATCATCTTTGTTGTCAGACTTGTATAAATAAATTTTTGTAGCATTGTACAAAATCATTGCTGCGTCATTGCATCTGATAATTACAGTCACACTATCTCTACTGTGTTTAGAAACCCAAAACTAATGTAAAGATTTGTTTTTTAGGTACCTGTATGATACCGAGATCATCACAAGAGACCCGCGAGATTAGCACTGTACACACAAAAAAGGATAAAATAGTATGCGTGTACGTCAAAATATTCAGTACATATATTTCATATGATAAGAGAAATATTAAAGGATAAAAAATCAAATGAAAGATATTTATAGTAAAGTATATGTTTTTATAGTTATTTACTGTGATGTATTTCCTTGTTAAGTTGTTTTCGTAATTTATTATAATTTTAGTAGAATTTCATCAGGTCTCATTTGTTATAAGTTTGTCATATTAAGAATTTTTTTTATTTGTTTCACGACAATGTTAGATTCACAAAAAGAGAGAGAAATTTGATATTAATATACTTTACCCTTGATATGACAAGTAATACTGTGCAGAAAACAGCACAGGTAAATATCTAAATGGCTATATTAATAATTAATATATAATAAATGCTAATACCTCTGTTGATGCAGCTTGACGCGCTGATGCAAATACATGTCTCAGCATAACTGCTTGCGTCTTATTTTGAGCTTGTTTATTGTGTTGTATCGCTTGCTGCGTTTTTTGGGGTTTGACCGTCGTCAGGGTGCGACCACCAGATTTGCTGGTTGTGAATGCACCATCTCCTCTAGCAAGTAAACTTGGCGGTGGTTTTAAATGGGCCTTCAGTTGATCTCTATTCGGTGAACTTTGTATGACCTAAAATAATATCAGTATTCCTACATTTATCAATGTAATAGCGCATCGTATTTCCGATAAATTCATATCTTTATTACATTCGCATATAATTCTAAATGGGATACTAAATTAATTTACCGCTTGACATATCTGATAGCTGCGCTCCAAATTGACAGCACCCGGAGGCTCTTTGGTGGAGCTTCTCGATCTACCTCCTTGTTCTTTATTACTATTCCTAGAACCTCTGTGGTTGCTTTGATTAGACGCACGCGAAGGTCGTGATGATCGGTCGGTGACAGTTAGTGATGGTCCAGGATATTGCTGTTGTGTCTGCTGCTGTTGCGTCTGCTGCTGTTGTGTCTGCTGCTGTTGTGTCTGTTGCTGTTGTGTTTGTTGTTGTGCTTGTTGTTGTTGCTGCTGCTGTTGTTGATGCACAGCCGCAATTTGTCGAGGTTGAACAGAAGTAGCAGTCTGATGTTGAATAACAATTGAATTTTGTGCACGATTCTGAGATTGTACTCCCACCGTAGTCGGGAGAGTATTTTGTACTTGACTTTGCGTTGCAATGGTGTTCTGATTCACGTTATTACGTGCATTGTTATTTTGAGTATTTATTTGAGTAATAGTATCTTGCGTTTGTATCATGTTAACTTGTGTAGTGTTACTCTGCTGAGGCTGTAGTTGGGCCGAGATCGTAGAATTACTCGTCAGTGAAGATGACTCTTGTTCCGGATTAAAACTCGTTTGCACATATCTAATAGATTGCAATTGCGGGAATGTAATGATCGGTGGACTTTGTGATTGCAAATTCTTCATAACGCAACTGCTGCCCGGTGTGTTGATAGCTAAGTCTGATTGAAATGTGGTTCCTTGAACAACCGGTAATTGAATACAATTAACAGATTCCACATTGGCATCCGCATTAATAAACTGTTGCGAAGAAGTTGTAGAATCGGTCGTTGTGGAAGTTTCGCTGCATTCATCTTGCGTCGTTACCGTGATATTAGCCGCTACAGATCCATCGAGAGCAGCCGCCACTAAAGGCCAAGGTACCTGCAGCTCCTCTTGTGTCTTTGCAACAAAAAATATAAATTAATATAAAACTTTGTTAATGTTGGATTTTTGAAAATAAACAAAATTTATCAAATTAATTTGTACTTTATACTTATATTAAATCTCTCTTTAAACTTCAAGATCTATATTCTATTATATTACAATTTTATTTAATATAAATATATTGTAGTATTCTAAAATTATTTTAATGGAATTATTTTCTTTAATCGAGAAAAAATCAATTATGACCAATCATCTTTAGAATTTCTTATTTGTTATTACATGCTGAATTCTAATTTTTCTTATTTTGATCTTTAAACATTCCGATTTACTCTAACTACCTATACTCGACCCGGTTATTTTGCATTCAAATCTTCACTAGAATCCATCCATATTTTTCATTTATTCAAAATGATTCAAAAAAATTTCTAAAAATTTACCAACATACTTTCAACTTTCTAGAATAAATATTGAAACTTCATTTTGGAAAATAATGTAGTATAATTTATAATTACCGATAAACTCAAAGAAACTTACATGAACAAGAATCGCTCAAATACTAGTAATCCGACTTTGTACAGTAAAGGTTAAAAACTATTTGTATATTTACCCTGTTATTATTAATGTTATTAACGGTTGGATCCACTGTCCAACTACATTCTAACATTTCAGAACAGACGTAATTATTTGCTTCTCGTAAAGCTTCGTCCTCATTACCAACATTTACATCCGTTCCCGTGGTATCTTCAGTTTGTCCAGTTACTACTTGAGGCTCGGTTACTTCTGAATTAGTTGAAGCCATTTCCATTCCCTCAAGAATAGGATATATTATCTCTTCTGGACATCCCGAAATTTCTTCATACATTTCTCGCATTTCTCCTCGTACCTAAATCATAATTAAATTTTTGACAACGGAGACAATATAATAATAGTTTTTTATTTTCATGAATATTACAGTCAATCGAGATTGTGCTAATGACATATCTACAATCTCTTAATAGCGCGTTTGTAATGGGAATTAAAATTCTTACCTCAAGTTCATGAATACGCTGTAAAGTCTCGCTATCGATTTCCATTCCTTCTGGAATTTGTGATTCGCTGTCCGCTGTATTTTCATGGGAAGTCTGCGTTACTTCAGTTTGATCACTGTTAATTAAACTGGCATCCTCTATAACGATATCCGTGGGCCTAATTTGATCCTGTGGTGATGAACTTTCAAGGATACTCGTGGTTTCACAATCCGATATTTGATAAATCTGATCGCTAGATATTTGTGAAATTTGTTCTTTTGACATCTGAGAAATTTGATCTATGGATGCTTGTGATATATATTCACTGGAAAGCTGCGAAATTGATTCCCCGGACGTGTGCGATGCACGTTCTATCTGTTCACTCGATCTGGGTGATGAATTATCATCGGGTAATAGCACAGTATCTTCTTCTGATGCTTCGATTACGTTATTTTCTACAGGTGGCAAATTTTTCTCGCTAGTGGAAAAATTTGTTTCTTCTTCGTACACGTTTGAGATGGCTCCTTGACATAATTGTCTCGCAATATCACTAGCCTCAACCAATTCTTGTTTCTCGCAAATATCTGTAATCTTGTCAGCTTCTTCTATTTTACCTTCATGCATTTGAATATCTTCTGTTACTTCCATGGAATTTACTTGCATGGAGTTATCTAAATGTTTCTCATCAGTCACATTATCTGATAATGTATTATAATCCAAAGATATTAAATTTTGTTGTACTTCTTCGGAACTAACTAGATCATCAGTACTCTTTATGCTTATTTCGGTCTTGCAGCTAGTATCGACTTTATCATCTGTCATTACAATGGAACAGACAGCATGCTCCGATGAAGGAATATCTACGTTAGGAATATCCACACTAGGAATATCCACGCTAGGAATATCTACGGTAGGAATATCCACGGCAGGAATATCCACGGTAGGAATATCCACGGTAGGAATATCCACGCTAGATTCCAAACGAAGTCTTAAACTTGACCGTGTTACTGCACCACTAGAACGTGAATCGTTAATATAATGGAGATTCGATTTAAGTTTAGGCTCTCGCTTTTCTCCCCATATTGGTTCAAAATGTTTCACTTTCCATGGATCTAACTTATTTTTATCTCGTTCCGCTTCCATTTTCAGGCGTTGCTGATTTTCTGGAGTAAATTCCCCTTCTGCTAAACGTTTCCGCCATTCCAGGCAAGCTCTCGCAAAAAATTCATTGTTCAATCCAGAGATAGCAGCATCCTAGGAATAAAGATAGCATAACATAAATTAAATTTCATCAATTAGAATGAAAATGCTCGTATATTTCCAAAACAAATTAAACAGAGTCGTGACTTATTTATAATTAGACTGATTTAAATTAATACAATTATCGTTAGAATGTAAGAGTCTAATATAAGCTCGAAATAAGCCATAACTCTGTTTAATTAAATTTCATCAAATAATTCATTGGTATATATTATTGAGAAATTATATTTAGTACCTGTCTATCCACAGCAGGCAGGAGTTGTGCAAGCTTCCGTTGATACAGTGGAGGCAAGCCTTGAAATGTATGCCTATTTAATAGCGCGCGTAAGCTCGTACTTGCTAATATACTCGCTGGAGATTCCAAATCCACAAGACCAGCTTCTAATTGCGCGGTTGCAGACAGTCTCTTTGTAGATCGTCTGCGACTTGACTTTAAGCTAAATCCAGGTAAACTAGCCAAAACTTCTCTCATTGTGGCAGCAGGTTCTTCTGCTGCTATATTCATACAAAATATGAATTATTTCAGATGATGTGAGTTACTACCACATTAATAAATAAAAATGAAACTGTTCATTATAATCTTTATTTTGCATGATTTGAAGAAAATAAAATAAACTTTGGGAATTAAATATTTGTTCAAATTATAATAGTATGAATATTATGTTATTGTTATATTAATCTGTCTATTTGCAACAAATGTTATGTATTTGTCAAACACTAATCAAAGTTTTCTCACTACTTAAAAAATCTATTGCAGTCTTTCATAAACATATCACAAGAATAAAATATAATGTTAAATATGATAAATATTGAGACATAATTTACACATAATTTATCATATCAAAGTAATACATAAATAAAAAGATATAAATATATGTACATATATATGTATATATATATATATATATATATATAAACATTACTTTATGTTTTTCCTTTTTTAATTTTTCATTTAAATATGGAAACAAATCTTGTCTTTATTTGTAATTTTCTAATATTACTGACAAAATATTAATAAATTGCAATTTGTTAATGTTCTATCGAATTATAGGTATACGTTGAAAATTAATATATGTCAGAGTTTACAACACATATATAGTTGTAATATTAAATAAATCGTATAAAGGAAGTCAAGTAAAATTAAATACTTTTTTGCATATTGTACCTAAAGTTCTCTATTTAGAAATCATCGAATTCCATTGTCTTCTTCTGTATGAACAAAAAGCAAAGTAGATATAAAACAAATAACGTATATCAAAGGGCTTGAGATTACCGGTGTTAACGTGTTGCATATTATTAACTGGAGATGGTGGATCGTTTGGAGGTGGTGGCGGTAGCGGTTTGACAACGATCCTGGGCAACGTACGGGAATTACCCGCCGCTATCGTTGTGTTCTTCCTACGCCGTTTGGCTTGCTGTCGTAAAGCATGCTTAATGACCTTCTTACTATGCACCATGCTAGAGTAGCCAGAGCAACCCGGGATAGTCTCGCACCCTTCACCCTTGCTGAGATCCACATCCGTGTCCATGGCAGCGCCTATGGCTTTGACATCGTCGACGAGCGGAATGTCAGGGCACGCGGTGTAAGCCTGCCGCGGCATTGCATTAAAACATGTATTGACGTCTCCGTTCGTTGCATTCCATTCTCCCGCGAGAATTTAGAATTCACGAATGTGTCCTCCTACTTCACCGAAATATAAACATAACATCTCTTTCTTTCCCTCTCACTCTCTCTGTCTCTCTTTCTTACCAGTGGCGACCGAGTGACATTCTTGTCGGACTAGTCGAAATATGCTGTGAAAGATCACGGCGGTACTATTTATGTCATTTCGTTCCGAGAATTCGTAAATCCACGAAATTACATTGAACAACAAAACGTTACAACTTCCTCAATCGCATAACGAAATGCCATCCGGAAAAGTAGAGAAGCTTCCGCTTCTTTCGGCCATACTGTATTTACATATTTATGCCACGGAAACATCATCGAGATAGATGCACGACTCGTTTTGCATCAACGTGTATTCATGTGTATTACGTTTACAACAGTTTACACAGCTCGATTTACATCGAAGTTATAACATCGATGTATGAAACCAATCATAGCTATTCCTCTGAAGAATGGAATGACTGTGATTAGCCAGTTTCCTAATATCGAGAGTATAACTTTGACGTAAATCGAATGTAAACGTAGTCTTTTTTGCTAAAATGTACTAAACGCAATGCATTATGTGTTACGCGTTAAGCCGGTTCTACATCAGTTGCAAGCTGATTGCAAGTTTGTTGCGACAGCTAATCTGAAGCTTGTATTTTGAAATCAACGCTTCATATTGGCTGTCGCAACAAACTTGCGATCGGCTTGCAACTAATGTAGAACCGGCTGAATATGCTTTAAAATAAAAACCAACTTTAAATATCGGCCTAAAATCTCAACTTATCAAAGGTCAGTATTCAGTTCTTATATTCAAGATCGTCTTAAGGTTCTGTCTTCAGGTCATGAAAGAGCCGCATTAGTGTTTTAAATCACTACGGTCTTGAAATAAGAACTGAATACCGGCAAAAAACTAAAGACATAGAGAATGAACTGCAATCCCTATCTAAGTAATATTTAAATGTGGTCGACAATAATGAGAGAGAGGGACCGTGGAAGACGGTCAATCTCCCTTTCATTCTCTTTCTCATTACGCCATTGAATGGAAAGAGACAGAGATGGCCGTCTTCCACGGTCCCTCTCTCTTACTTTTATCGACTATTTTGACACATGAGCACTCTTGCAGTCCATTTTCTATGTTTTTGCAAAAAACTGTTTACATCAGAATACATGGTTTCTGATGTGTTAAAGCCTAAACACAATGGGAGAAATATTAGAAATAGAAATAAATATTAAGAAATAGAATTATAAATTCCAAACCATCAAAAACCATGTATTTTAATGTAAGTAGATCCTGATAAGTCGAAATCATAATATTTATTCCTATTAATTGCTAATATTTCAGCCGTGCGCACAATAGAAAGAATAAGAAATTAAGAATAAAGAATAAATGATTTCAACCTATCAGAAATCGTGTATTCCGATGGATCCGATTTCTCTTCACAAGGCTTTATTCCTTTTGTTTGCGTGAGTGTGAGTTCACAAATTAAAGATGAACTGTGCAAATTGTTGGTCATATAAATCGAGCTTAATGTCAGTTAAGAAGATGACAAGTGATAAGTGATTTTTAGAGCAAGTAAGGTTAAGTTGTGCCGACACTGTTTCTTTTACTAAATAAAGATATATTCAATATCTATCTGCGAAACATTTGTTCTTCTGCTGTCAATCATGACGCTCACAAATAAAGTAAGGAAAATGTTTAATATTTTTATTACTATACCAGTGATTGAAAATATTTTTCCTACCTGTAACTGAACATTCTGAAATTTTTCAGATGGATATCGACGAGAAGAATGCTAAAGGTGAAGGCTTTAAACCATATTACATTACGAAGATTGAGGAATTACAATTAATTGTTGCTGAAAAAAGTCAAAATTTAAGGAGATTGCAAGCGCAGCGTAATGAACTCAATGCGAAAGGTGATTATTTTGCTTTGATGATACAAGTATTATTGTTGTATGAAGCTATAAAAGCCTAATATGACTCTTTGATTAGTTTATGACATCTTAAGATTATATTTAAGATTCTTAAATATAAGAATTGACTATGAATATCGACCATATTCTCTCTTAATTATACAAGACAATTCCTTTAAAAAGTCATAGGCTGATGACGGTGCCAACGATTAAAGACTCTTAGTGGCCCTATATAGATTGTTTATTTTTATTTTTTATTTTTAAGATTTTGAGTCTGTACAATTTGATACAATTTCTTTGTTTTTTTTTAGTGCGCATGCTACGGGAAGAATTACAACTTCTACAAGAACAGGGTTCCTATGTAGGAGAAGTAGTTAAACCCATGGATAAGAAGAAAGTCTTAGTCAAAGTACATCCAGAAGGCAAATTTGTAGTAGACATAGACAAGAACATCGACATCAATGATGTGACTCCAAACTCGCGTGTCGCTCTGCGTAATGAAAGTTATACTCTGCATAAAATACTACCGAACAAAGTCGATCCGCTCGTCTCTCTTATGATGGTAGAGAAAGTTCCAGATTCTACATATGAAATGGTTGGAGGTTTGGATAAACAGATAAAGGAGATAAAAGAGGTCATAGAATTGCCTGTCAAGCATCCAGAATTGTTTGACGCTCTTGGAATTGCGCAGCCTAAAGGTGTACTGCTATATGGACCACCAGGTAACAAATTTATTACAAATGTTTTTTTTAGTTGAACTTACATAGTTCATCTTTCCTCTTTTTCTCTCTAGTGCGAAAAGAAAGAGGAAAGAGATGAACTGTTCAAAAAGTTTAACTAAAAAAAACAGTATTATAACATATATATATATGTATATATATATATTGAAACATATATATATATATATATATATTATATATATATATATATATGAAATCTTTATATTTTATTATAATTATTTTAATTGTCTGTCATAATCTTTGATAGTAATGACAACATAAAATTTTTCAGGTACCGGCAAGACTTTACTTGCAAGAGCAGTCGCGCATCATACCGAGTGTACTTTCATTCGTGTATCTGGATCCGAGTTAGTTCAAAAATTTATTGGAGAAGGTTCGCGTATGGTTCGTGAGCTTTTCGTCATGGCAAGAGAACACGCACCGTCTATAATATTCATGGATGAAATCGATTCCATTGGAAGTTCCCGGATTGAATCTGGATCTGGTGGTGATAGTGAAGTATGTATGGAATATGGTATGAATGTAATTAATTTTAATTTTTTTAATTATATCGTAAATTATACTTTCAGGTACAACGTACCATGTTAGAATTGCTTAATCAATTAGATGGTTTTGAAGCAACGAAAAACATAAAGGTTATTATGGCTACAAACAGAATTGATATCTTAGATCCAGCATTATTGCGACCCGGACGTATCGATCGTAAGATAGAATTTCCACCTCCAAATGAAGAGGCTAGATTGGACATCTTAAAGATTCATTCTAGAAAAATGAATTTGACACGTGGTATAAATCTCAGAAAGATAGCTGAACTTATGCCAGGTGCATCAGGAGCAGAAGTCAAGGTAATGAAAATAATTGTATACAAATATATACATATATCTTTACATTACAATTTCATCATATAATTATCATAGAATAAATATCAAACGAAATCCGATTCTCTGCTCTTAATAAATTTTACTCCAAAAATTTAAATCTTAAAATATATATAGATTAAAATATAAGGATCTTATGTTATTCCTCTTAAATTTTAATAGAGAATTTTAGAAAGTTATTCTCATATTTCATCTTTATAATAAAAAAGTCGAAGTTTATCAAATTTTTTATAAGCAATTACTAATTTCTCGCGTTGCGAGATACAGATTACTGAAGCCATCTATTGAAAAAATAATGGATTTCTTTTTACTACACTTAATATATTATTTATATTATAGGGTGTTTGCACGGAAGCTGGAATGTATGCTCTTAGAGAACGTCGAGTTCACGTAACTCAAGAAGATTTTGAGATGGCTGTAGCGAAGGTGATGCAAAAGGATTCTGAGAAGAACATGTCGATCAAGAAATTATGGAAATAATCAACTTTGCAATTTTTTCAAAGTCATACTGATAATATATTATTGTACTCTTTCATAAGCGAATTTTAACCAAATAGCGAAAGCAATGTATTTAACATATATATACAAACATAAAAATTTCATTCATAAGATTAAACAATAAAACTTTATTATTAAAATTAAAACATTGAATTTTATTATATGAAATTTTATTATTATCAATTACGATATTAAAAATGTTATACCATTATTAAATTATAATTTAATTTAGAACAAATTCTTGCTTATACATATCTTATACGAGTAATGTCGTTTTTTAACAATTTTTTAATAATCGTCTATTGTTTTACAGTGAATTGTTTCATTGCAGTATCTCCTCATAAAATATAAGCATCTGTCCGCTGAAAAATCTGACAATTATATACCTGTATAACGTTAATGGAAATATAAAGAAACCGTCAACCATGTGTTTTAATCTAAAAATATATAAAATAAATAGTTTTCTATGATACCCTTTGAATCTAAATATACAACGAAATCTATATGAAATTCAAGTAAAATTGTATATCTGCTGCAAAAGATTACTGACTGCTCTGTCAATAGTACTGATTGTGCAATCAATAATACTCCCATTTAATTTCCAAAATATCGCAATTAACTTTAGCAAACTGCTTCATAAAGATTAGCCCCAAGTGTTTTAAGATCATTATTGAATATCAGACGCTGAAGCCAATTCTCTGCTATATCGTCCGAAATTGGATTATCTGGAACCTGTCCATTCATAATAGGGATAATTTTGGCTAAAGCAATAGTGGTTTTGTTAAGATCTACAAATCCACTGAAATCACTTATGTTTTCTTTCCTTGTTAAAATTGAATTTTCAGCATTTGATTCTTCCGAAAACGATGCTTTGTTCTGAACACTGTTAGTTTTGGAAGGTTCACTGAAGTATACAGATATATGATCCATTAATAAAACAAATCCAGTTCTGATATTTTTCTGCATTAAATCCTGTACTTCTTCGCTCTCCGATACGTCTAGCATCTGATCTCTTAGCTTTGAATAGACAGATGTATCACTGTTTTCAATGTCATGTTGCAATGTGTAGTAAATGAAATTTTTTACAGGGTCTTTCGAGCTGTCGGCAGATACAGAAGATGTAATTGCCCAATAAATTTGTTCTAAATCTCTTAACGTTAATTGCTCCGTTAGAGACAATGAAGCAGTGACTTCACTAACTTTATTTTGTATGAATTCGCTCAAATCTTTAATGCCTTCATCTATAAAATATTTGGAAAGAGCCATGTATCTCTTTTGTACTTCTGTGCCAATAATCCCATTGTTCGTATTCTGTGCGTGTTTATACATATGTCCGCTAATCAAATTGAGCTGAATTCTAAGAAATATAACTAGCATCGTATAAGAATAAATTATTACGGCCGGTCGTGCAATTGCTAATATCTTCAATTGAACCCAAGATGTTATCTTATCAGCAGAGCCATCTTTAAGTTGTTTTATAATGATTTCTGTATCATTTTCTTTGACCACAGAGTTTCTCAAAGTCACCGCAAGCTTCGATATCATTTGATTACACGATCTCTCTGTACTCTCATAGTATTGTCGTTTCTTTGTCCTTTCCATCAGCATCCTTATCTCATTTTCTTGCCATTCTCGCAGCTTACGCTGTGTGTAACGCGTCAAAAAAATGACACTACTAACAATGACACTCCCAAATATAAACTTACGCCTGTGGCGACTTAAAAATCCTCGAATACTTGAAAACATGTCCAATTGTTTATGTAAATCTAATATACGTACAAGTATATTACAGAGTTTTTTTTAAATATATGCATAACAAACTTTGACACATAATCCTTGAGAATCTTCACTCCATATTATCTGACTCGGACTGCATATTTGAGGCAACTCGTTCTATTCTGTTTGTGATATAATTAGTAGTATCAATGAATCTCTCCACGCAATTTACGAGACACTTATGAACTTTAGGCTCCAGGCGCAATGATGGTTTATCCATACAAATCTCCCAGCAGAGACCAGTTAATTCATGTACCAATCCCTGAAAATATTATTTGGTTATATAATTCATTCATTGTTCCACAGTCATAGTATAAAGCGCATAATAATTTTAAAAAAATAATAAAGATAAAATAAATAACTACATTTACATTCTCAAGTATATGAATAGATTTGAAATTGAATAAAATAAAGTTGCACATGATAAAAATATTACTGATAAATATTTATATATTAATACCCATATTTTTTATATTACAAAGTACAAAGTATAAATAAAAAATATCAATAAATTTATTTATGCGATTGACCAAGAAACTAACCTGGAACTGTTGCTTTTTCGTCTCAGCCTCAATAAAATGCTGTAACTGATCATCTAGAACAACCTGCGTGTTCTGGTTTTCCATAAGACTCATACTTCGAATCTTCGCGTTTGTATATTTATATACATTAATGCAAATTATTGACCTCTAAAATATTACGTATGTACTTTTATTAGTAACGTAAGATGCAATGATACGCAGAAGTCAAAACCGGTTTATAGGTATCTTTCACTAATCAATTAACGCTAATCGATGGCTAACGCAATAGAGACTAGGGAGTTCTTGCAATACCATGTATTGTATTGGGTCATCTAAAAAGTATCCGCGGTTTTTTGTCACTAGATGTGTGTTGATGGTCATATATCTAGTGACAAAGTACCGCGGATACTTTTTAGATGATCCAATACATATGTCCATATCCAGAAACTGTGTATTCCACAATACATGATTTCTGATAGATTGAATAGGTTCTGAAATTCTTATTCCCTATTCCTTTTATTGTACGGAGCCTCTAAACGCTAAAGTCCATGATAGAAGGATTAGCTTGGATTTTTAAGCCTTAAGCCATAAGGAATAGACGAATCATAGTCAATTATTCTCTTGTATTCAATTGTAATTGGTCAATTTCTTACGACTTAGGCTTAAAACACCTATTGTAGAGCCAGAGTAATTGGTCAGTTTCTTATAGCTTAAGACTTAAAACTACAATAAATTCAATACAATCGCTCACTGAGCGTTTAGTGAGCTCTCTCACCTGTGTGGATTATATTTTTGGATCTATTGGAATATGCCAATTAGATGCAAGAGCTCACTAAACGCTCAATGGACAGTTGTAATAAATGCATCCATGCAGTTCGACCAAATCACGCCTACTTTGGGACTGCGCACAATGAAAGGAATAGGGAACAGAAAACAGAGAATAATGGTCATTCCACACAACTTGCATAGCTGCTAAACACATATGCAAAAAGAAAATCATCCAATCGTATTCTACGTTTATCTTTACAAAAATGTAATTGGATAATTTTCTTTACGCATATGGTTATGCAAAATGGCTATGCAAGTGTGAAATGGCCTTAAGAATTTCAACCTATCAGACTGCGTATTTCACAATACATGATTTCTGATAAGTTGAAATTCTTAGGGTGAAGAAATTACACAGAAAAGGACTGCGGAATAGAGAATTCATTAAACCAACCAATCAGTGCTATTCCGAACACAGCCATTGGGCGTATTCAGCGGACTCACTGAGTGAGCGCTCGCTGTTATTGGTGTATTCTTTTAGATTACTCAATCAGCATTTTAGATCTGAAAGAATACGTCAATAGCAGCGAGCGCTCAATCAACTATCGAGTCCGTTAAACGCAGCCAATGAGAATCAACAATTCCCTAGAGATTAAATACCTTTTGCGATTTGAGTGCAATGAGCGCGGGAGAGTGCAGTTGAAGCGACACGTTGCCTCATTCATCTACGTGTGCCACCACTGCCACCAGCCAGTATTTTGTCATTGTCGCGTACTGGTCGATTGGTTCCGGGAGTGCGGTTCGTTGAGTGTCGTTACGTGCGCGTGACACGGTTTTCATTTTTTCGGACATTTCTTATCAGCCCTTACGTCGATATGGCTTGGCTGTCTGGTCTTGCTGATAAGGCAGAAAATTTGTTGAATAAAATTGACAAAAACACTGCGGCCGTGTTAAATAAAGACAAATACGAGATGCCACAGGGTCATTTATCAGAAGTTACATGGCTCTCTCCGGAATCTGGGTAATTGCGTTCATATCAATCGCAGGTTATTACCGTTGAATATTTAGATTAATTAATCACTTCGCGAAATGTAATTTTCTCATTTCGCTTTATTTGTATACAACGTAAATATTATGTATAAATAATATAAATTTATTTTATTCAAATGTTACTACAGCTTTTAACAGATTTTAATATCCTTATGGAAAAACAACTAATAAAAAAAATATATGAAATATAAAAAAAATTATTAATGAAAATATTTTTCTTTTAATTTAGATTAAATGATATGTCCAAGACACCTTTATTGGGATCATCAGGTCATATTCCTTATGTTGCTCCTACTTCAGGTTTGACATCGGTGAATCTGTTAAATGTAACGACGCCTAAAGAAGACGCATTATTTACATATTTAAATACGCCTGACCCGAGTCCAAAGAGGATAGTGGAATCCTTTAAATCACTATCAACTACTTCATCGTTATTGGTAGAACATCCTACAGATGACACAGATTCAGATCTATCTATTCAGAGTGATCGGATTAGTCCAACTCCGTCTCATGTTTCAATTGAAATGATTCCCAATATTTTGGATGATAAAGATGCTGAAATAAATATGGAAAATTCAAATTTGTATCCAAGTAATGAAATGCAGACCTTAGATTGTGAAAATATAGATAATACAACAATCGAAACTATACAGAATGGTACATCTTAATTTTTATATCATATATTTATAATGTATCATTTTCTACAGATTATTGCATATTTGCATTTTTATATTACAGAACACAATGATGCAGAGGAACATTTAGATGTATTCTATCCTCAGCCCAGATATAAAATAAAGTCAAACAATGTGAAAACAGATAATTTAGATAATCCAATTGATTTAGTAAATAAACGAAAATATACAAGAGAATTGGAAAGACACTTGGAGAAGCAAAATGAATTCCTTGGGAAACAAACGGACTTTCAAAAAGAAATTGTAGTTCTAAATGAAAAGTTGAAAGCCTTGGAAGTGGAAAAGTTAGAGCAGTCAAAACAAGTAGTAGATTTACAATCCATCATTGACAGAAACAGACAAGAGTTAAACTCAATTAGATCTGAATTGGAACAGCATAAAGCTAGGGCATTGAAAACTTTACAAGAAAAGGAAAAACTTATAGCAGAACTGAAAAGCAATGCACCAACAGCCATGGATGAAGCCACTATCATGGAATTGAATCAATTAAAGTTAGTACAATTAACATCAATATTTTATAAGTAATATTCTATAATGTTAATATGTGGCATCTATGAACATAATTTATTGTATTAAATTACAGACAGGAACGTGATATTGTTAGGGAGGAAAATCAGCAAATGTGTCAGCAGCTGAAAATGTTGAGAGAAGAGCTGATGAATGCAGATCTGAACTTGGAAAAGATAAGACAAAAATTAGCCGAGACAAATCTACAAAATCAAGAGATTCTTGCTAGTGAAAGACGTCGAAGAGTAGAAACAGAAGAAGACATGAGATTACATTCTGAAGTAAATTACATTTTTTTGTTTGGATTTTTACACAAATTACATCTCTAGTTATTGTATTAATAAATTAAAAAGGTTAAAAATAAAATATTGTTTTAGGAATTAAGATCCTTGAAAGATGAATTAATTAGTCAACGTAATGGATTTAGTTTACAGTTACAAAAGCAGAATTCAGAGATTTCTAGGCTTAAGTTGCAGCTGTCTGTGTCGGCAACGCCGAGTAATGAAATGGATTCAAGAATAACATCTCTTACTCAAACTCTGGTTTTAAAACAGCAAGCATTGGAATGTTTGACGACAGAAAGAAATGCATTACGTCTCCAACTTGAGAAAATCGAAGTAAATATAATAACTTACAAATTTTTGTTAGAGAATATTTTCTGCGACATTGTTAACAAATAAAATTTATTATATTAAATTTTGATAATTTTATTAATAAAATTTAGCATTATAAAATATTTTCTTCTAAAAATTATTTTTTAGGCTCTATGTATATATACTAATAATAGTCTTCTTAATTTAAACAGCATGAATATAGAAATGCTGCAGGCAATTTACGAAGAAACATATCGTATAACAATATAAACGATACGGATGATGCAAAAGCTCAAGTTCCTACATTTTTAATAGAAACACCGTTTGATACCAGCGTTACTAGAAGAGTAAAAAGAGCTTATTCTTCATTGGATGCCATAAGCATTCGAACGGGAGTATTCTTAAGGAGATATCCATTAGCTAGGATTTTAGTATTGATTTATATGGTAAGTACATATGTGTTAATTGTCGATTATATTTAAAATACTGCTACGAAATGTATATGTTTTTGTAGGCACTGCTCCAATTGTGGGTCTTTGTAGTTCTCTTTTCCCAATCACCGGAAGCTCATTAATAAAAATTACAATAGCAGATAGCACCTTAAAACAAAAAAAAGAAATATATTTATAAAAAATAAAACTTTTTGTGAATATCGGAAAGCAATATTTACAGGAAGCAGATTTAGATCTTATACAGTTTAATATATCTTAATCTATATGTTATTGTTAAATAAAAATTTTAAATAAAATATATAGTGATAAATCAGTGATAATTACAAAATATTACGATTGTAAAATTCTTTATTTTTTTACTACATAAAATGGTATAATGTTACAAGACTACAAATATGGGCAGCATTAACATAAGTGACGAAGAAAGGTGTAAATAAGTTATATATGTATAATACTACTTTGTTTTTGTAATATAATCATCAATTATATAAATTTATAATTTAAAATTGTTTAAAATTATGTTCTTCTATTAGAGATTTGGAGAATACAATAAATATACTAAATATATACTCTCTCTGTTATCTTTAAGTCACGCGAGCTATACAAAATATATTGCAATACGATATAATTATGAATATTGCTCTCTTAAATACTAATTTCTTATTACAATATTTGATTCCGTTTTTTTACGATAGCGATATTAAAAATAATTAAGCACAATGATATGACAAGACATTATTTGTAAATATTTTCTTTTAATAATAGATTTATTCTCACGCACACATGCACACACGCACACACACATGTCCATCGGTATGTAAGATTAGATTCATAAAATACTTTGTAATCATGGCGACAATAAAGTAGTCTTATTGTAAATACATACAGTAAATATTACGACAACCATTAAGTATAATCTACTACGATAAAACTACGATGAATCGATCTATTATCTAATCGTCGCCTATTATATACATATAATATATATGTGTATATATGTATATTCACACAGACAATATATTTGTATTGCTCCAGTGATTGGAAAGTAGCGCGTATATGCACCTTAGGCACAAATTCTCTCTATTTGCGTACAGTTTGATTGAATAATGCTAAAAGGATATTTATCACATGACTTTCAGTATGAAATTTATTAATTATATCCCTGAAATATATATGTATATGTAACTATGATTATATCACATAATTCTAAAGTAGATTAAATGCGGTATTAACATTGCTTTCTCAATTTTTGTTAGTTATATAGATGTCTCAAAATACACGATTCGTAAAATAAATATAAGGATTTGTTACTTGTAAAAGATATTGTAGCGGCTAGACGAGTTAAAGCGCATTCCTGTTGATGCGGAAATCCGATCATTATTTTCGGATGAACGTCATATATCAGAACTCTGCGAAATTCGCACTACGGTGACGAGTCAAATTAGTAATAAAAATTTGACGCTCACCAGTATGTAGCGAGGCAAGAGACTACGTTATTATTTTATTAGCCTGTATATAGGAGAAGTACGTCTCTTTATGAAGATATATATTCTCCTCATCTAGAAGATGCACAAGATGAACCTCTACAGAAAGATATATCTCTCCCATAATATAACACCAAAAATATTTGTTCTTTTGTAAGTATACTATTCTCACATCATTGTCTCTAATATTTAAATTTGTGAAATAATCATCAAATTGAAATTAATCAAATGAAAATTTCCAATAATTTTCCCTACTTTGTATGTCAAACTGGATCAAGTTAGGATATCACATGCAAATTATTGACCAAGCTTCTTAAACATATTCGACAATTTCCTAAATACGCTGCATAATTGGATGATTCTGACTTATATTTCTCATAAAACACAAAAAGTAGTCGAGCTGAAAAATAATGAACTATTTATAAATATCGGAGATTATGCGATTGGACTTTAACTCTATATATATATATATATATATCTTTTCTTTAAAAAAAAAAAATTAATATTTTTCGACAAATTAATAATTAAATGGCATTATCTGTGATGACTGTCACGTAAGCTGGCATGTAAGTGCGTAATATATTAATTGAACTAAAATTTTTGCGCATTATAATATAGCTGCAAAACTGTTCTGCAGCTGTCTATTCGATGAAATAGCAACGCAAGTTAGATAAAATATTGCGAAAATGCGAAGATGCGGGTGCAAATACAGACTTCACAGCCATATTACAGTAATAGGGAACGTTCGATTGATATTTAATTAAATTGTTAGATCGATATTTTCCATCAAGAAATCCGAGAGAATTTTTTTTCAACTGACTTTAACTCCTATTATAGTGATTATACATTATCAAAGCATATACAACGATTGTACGTATAATGTTATGAGGATCTGTAAACGTTACGAGAATTGTAGATCATTATCGCTTCTGATTTTAAAATACTAGTCATTTAAGAGAGATTTCTAATTTAAACAGCAAGTTTTTAATTTATTTTTTAGAATTTTTGTCTATAAAGTGAAAGGCGTAGCCAGTTAAATTTTCCATTCAACGAATTCTTTAATTTGATACCGTCATATGTTAATTATTTTTCTAATGTTTTATATTGACTTTCCTTAAGAGTTTCAAAAATATTTTGGTAACAAAATGTAATAAATATCAAATGATATAAATACAAAAATGGAGCGGCTCGCAAACGTAATAATAAATAATAATATAACGTTTTTACAACTTTTCTATTTTATTTGGATAAGCGGATTATTAAAAATCAATACGCAAAGTATTTTACGCAAGTATTAGCCAAAGTATTTTCATTATTCAAAAGTTTTTTATATTTAACATCCCAAGTAGAACACAGCGCTTAAAAAGCGCTAAAAAAGCACATATAAGTGCTGTGCTACTTGGGATCAAAGTTCTTTTGAATATTCGACTTATAAATTGAGACGCTTCTGAATTGAGTATCATATTGTAATTTCCGCAACTTTTCTATTATATTCTAATGAACGAAAATTATTAAAAGTCAATACACAAATAAACATCCAACGTATTTTAATTATCCAAAATTTTTCTATGTTTAATTTCTAAATTGACATTTCCGAATTGCGTATCATATTATAATATTATTTGTTTTTTACTTCGTCATCAGATAGCAGATTGATTTTATAACATCTGTTCTACTTTTTAATGATTGAGTGTGATTACTAATAAAATATCATGTAAGGATAGCTTAATTGCCGAGATCCTAATAAACTAGATTAATTATGGCATTCTTTTGACGTATTACATTACTTGAAGCGATTATACTAATAGCTTTTTTTAATGTTTATACCATCTAAACGTTTAGTAAGTATCTGACGTTTAATCAAAGATTACTTGCAGTGGCAAACTTGACACTTAACATACTTCATTTCTTTTAATCACCATCCAGCTAGTTTTTCGAAATTCAAGAGTAACAATTTTATTTGTTTCGATATCTCAGCAAAAGTTTAACTTCTGCGTTAGAAAAAAATCGAATCTTATCATATCCTATACATATTAATGTCCAAGAATAATTCTTTTCATTAGATCAGAATATTTTTAGAATAAGCGATTACTTTGGAATCTCCTTTATATTTTATATAATCGAAAATGTATCTCACATAATTGCAGTGCACAGCGAAATTGCTCTTTTAGTCTACAGTTTTGAATCGAACTTGTTAAACAAATAATTTATTTGTTTAGACAGGTCTTGCGATGCAAATAGTCTCTAAATAGCGTATTGTAAATACCTGAATACGAAGGCAGAGAAAGAGAGAGCGAGAGAGAGAGAGAGAGAGAGAGAGAGTACCAGAATAGATAAAAACTGGATATATTTATAGTATTGTTTCCTTCATAAAATTGGAAGTAACAGAAAATCACTTTTTCTTTATATCGAGGAATGTCATCGTTCTCAATTCCTCACATTGTATTTCCCGCAAAAATAACAATATAACATTACATCAATATTACTATAATTAAATATTATATTTAACAATGTAAGTACAATATCTAATATTTTTTGCACGTAACATTGTTGAGTAGAAAATTATAACATTCATGTAATGTTATATATTGTTACTTTGTATTTACTCAGTTTGACATCTTCATAATCGAGCCTCAAATAAAAATTCTGTTAAATTTATTTGACTAATGCGATAAATATAATTATTAATTAATTTTATTGCAAATCCCATCACTCATTAACTTTTAAAACTTAATTTTCGAGAGAAGTTCTTAATTTTTAATTTGTAATTCGGAAATGAATAATGCTCATTTCTTCAAACTCAAATTTTTTACAAGAAAATGTTGCAAGTTCATTTTCCGTTAATTCTGGAATACCTATTCATACTCTAAATAACTCATGAAAGTTAATGATACTTGAGTCTTAGACACTCGGGACTTTGCAGAGTAACATTATCAGAAATGCAATTAATTATCAGTTTTTTATATATTATTTTTATATATTATGTAGAACAGAAGAAAAATATATGTATTCTCTCGAAGAGAGGTATATTAAAATATATTTAAAGTTAAATTTCTTTGTCTACATACATAAAATAGGTGTGAATGCCTAAATGACTCACCGCCTATTTACATGCCAGTTGAAAAGTTATCAATATCCCGGTATTAAAAAATCAACATTCATTCCGGCTCGCTTCGGATTTATCAGACGAACTTGATTCGTCATTGGGATAGTCACGATTACCGCAACTAGTGATTTGAAATGAATTTTTTGTTGGATCGGCAGGAAGTAGAGGTGATAACGTCGAGACGATTTCCTCCGTAGATGATGAATCCTCCAAATGTAATGACATTTGCGACCTACGTTGTTGATTTTCTGGATTATTTAATACAGAACGGAGAAACCTTCGTGTTTCCGCCCGCAACGCATTCAAACGCCTCTGAAGGATACGGTTGCGCCGTACGAGTATTATCGTACGCATGACAATGCTCAAGAGATCTGCGAGAAAGATTGAGTATTAAAAACGCGTCGAAAATAACGTGCGAAATAAATCCTTCGAACGAATGCGAGAGATTTATGAGAATTATACGAGGATCTTATTCCGCGTGAGAAAAGAACCTCGTCTATTGTAAGCTTTGTTTTAGAAAGGTGAAATACGAATTTTTTTTATAATTAAAAACTGTGTGATGGATCACAGTCCATTCATTCCTGATGAAATTTAAAAATATCACAAAAATTTGATTAATTTTTTCAAAAATTATAAAAATTTAATATAAAAAATTTGTTTAATGTTTC